GTGTGTGCCTCTGCCCGTAGAAATGAGCAGGCGAAAGGACAGATTTCATGCTGCATGGCAGCACCTTAACCGAAGAGCATGTGCCTGAGCCGTGGCCCGGGGCAGCTTGCACCAGGCGGCTGTGGAAACCCTGAGCAACCCAGGCCCCTCCCCACCCCCACCCCTCTGCATCTTAGGTAACATATGTGGTGAATACAAGCCTTTACTTTTCCAAGAAACATAAAATAAAAACTGAATTACTGGCAGAGAAGCCTTAAAATCTTTGGTTCCTAGGACTCTGTGGGCACATTTTCTACACACCCTGATTTTTATTTCATTTGCCTCCAGGGGATGGCCCTACAGCAGCTGTGTTGCGTAAGGTGCTGTTTCCAAACACCTTGTCCCCAACTGGAGACACAGAATAAGTTTTATCTAGGTTTGAGAGAGTTCTGGAGGGGTGACATCATGTTCCAAGCTGCACTGGTTATAGTCAACAGTGGGAAAGCTGCCAGAACCTTCTCACTAAGGAAGCTGAGAGAATACTTTAAATACCCAATGGCACTTCTTTCTTATAGCACAAAGTGGTCATAAAAACCACTTAACAAGGAAAATTAGTGGGAGGGAAATGTCCTGAATGTATCAAATTAAAAAGAGAAAAAACTTTACAAGGACATGGGGAAAAAATACATTTTTCTGTGTTGAAGGGACGGTGATATAGGCAGCCAGTTTTACACTGAAAATCATTCAATAAGCATTTACTCTGCAGGGGGCTTCATGAGAAATCCCTACAAGTAGCCCTTCCTTTTCGTTTGTTCATTGTCTCTGCCATTTAACAAACATCTGTTGAGTGCTTACTATGTTTCAAGGAAGCCACCATGAGCCAGCTAACTTGGCATTGGGGGGGATGGGGCCGCAGTGGCAGGAGCACAGCTAATGCACAGGGCTGTCATGAGGCCCGAAAGTGTGGTCCTCTCTCGGTGGGCTCCTTCTCTGGCTGGAAGTACAATCCCCTACTCAGCTTACTACGCAACCAAGGAGCCACAGGTAGAAGGAACTAGAAAGCAGAATCCCACCATTTTGCTATTGGTGTGATGACCTCTTCTGGCCTGAGGGTCTGAGAAGCTCCCCTGGAGAAAGTGATGTTCAAGGTAGTAACAGTATCCTCTAGAAAGAGCAGCTCTGAGGGGGAGCCGGAGGGAGGCCATGAGGCCACAGAGGTCAGAGGGAGCCAGAGGGCAGATGAGGTCTCGGAGCCTGTGGCGGGGAGGAGATTTTTTTGATTCTAATTTTATGGCATACAGAAATACCTCGCTCAGAACAGGGAGAGTCAAGGAGGACTGCAAGCAGGAAGTAAAATAATCAGCTTGGCTTCTTTTTAAGACAGCCACAACTGTGAAGAGTAACGGTGCACGGATGGGGGCAGGGATCCCACGTGGAAGCAGAAACGCCAATCGGGGGCCATGTGCTGACCAGGCCACAGCTGCTGCTGACGGTGGGAAAAGCCAAGTGGATGGGCTCTTTGGAAAGGGTACCGTGACCCAGAAGAACTGAACACAGAGAGACAGCTGTGGTTGACCCCATCCCACCCAGGCTAAGATGATAATTCAAATTAACTCCCTTAGTGGGTGAAATAGATAGCTTCATTTGCTGGTAGAAAGGCAAGGAACATTTACATTATAGTTGACTCTCAAACAACACGGGTTTGAGGGCAGATTTTCTTGTCCACAGACAACACAGATTTACAGTGTCAATAAACAAACGCAAAGGTATTGTCTAGTTCTTGTAATTTTCTTATTAACATGTTCTTTTCTTTGGGCCCTCCCTGGTGGCACAGAGGGTCTAAACACAGCACCATGAAGCTAGCTGCAGCTGCTTCAACACGAGTTCAATCCCCGCCAGGGAGCTGACCCACATGGCGCGGCAGGCCTCTCCTGTCCCACCCGCTGCTCCCCTCAGCAGTGTACGTCACCAGTCTGCCAGTTCTGCTCCCCACTCTGTCTCTGGTGAATCTTCTCACCGCCCTGCACCTCTGGCCTGAACCCCTGTTCTGGATGCATAAATAAATAAATCTTTAAAAAAAGGAAAGACTGGGAAAATGATAAAAAAAAAAAACAAACGTGTTCTTTACTTCACTTATTTTACTGTAAGAATACAGTATATAATACATACAACACACAAAATCGGTGCTGATTGACTGTTATCCATAACAGCAGGCTATTCGTACTGCAGTTTTATTTTGGGGTGGAGGAGTCAAAGTTATATGGGATTTTCACACAGGACTTGGCACCCTACCCCTCATGTTATTCTAGGGATCACTGTGTATCTGTGTCTGCTATCAGCGGGACACTCGGTATGCTTTAAATGCAGGACCGCACTTTCGGGCCTCATGACAGCCCTGTGCATTAGCTGTGGCTCCTGCCATTGCACCCCCATCCCCCCCAGTGCCAAGTTAAAGAGCTTGCCCAGCCAGAGACGGGCAGACCTGGGTTTGAAACAGGCAGCCACTGCAAGGGACACGTCCCAGGAAGCTCAGGTGCGCACTGCACCAGTGTGGACACACCACTGGCCTAGCTGGGCCTCCTGAGCTGCCTTTGTCTGCTGGTCCCCGTGGAGTCTCTTCTGGTGGTGGTGTTGGGGGGGCGGTTCTAGGAGTCACATAAGCCAGCTGGGAATCTTCTCACACAAGTTTGTAAAAATCCCCAGCTGGTCTTTCTTCGCAGGGCTCTTCCACCTTAGGCAGACCTGCCGGGGCAGCAGCTCTGAGCAGGAACAAGTCCTGCCTGAGGGGCTGACTTCTGCCCCAGAGAAGCAAGCATGCCTCACATTTTCATAGAAAACCCAGAGAGGGTGCAGGAGGAGCTTGAAGGACACTGGAGGGACAGGGAACCCTGTGAGAGAAGGCCTGGGGGTGGGAGCAAATGCCCGGGTTCCAGAGGCTGCACGGTCCTCCCTGAGGACGGGGCTGAGGACACAGATAGGTGCTGGCCCACGCACTGTGGCAGCCATGCTTTGTTGTTCCTATCAATCCTATTGCAAGCAAAGGGGGCTTTTTTTTTTTTTTAAGATTGATTTATTTATGTATACGCGAACTGGGGTACAGGCCAGAGGTGAAGGGTTTTGGGAGGGGAGATGAGAGGATTTACAGAGCAGGATACAGAACAGGCAGACTGACTGAAATGCACTGCTAAGGTGAACAGCAGGAGGGACAGGAGAGGTCTGCTGTGCCATGTGGGTCAGCTCCTTGGCTGGGGATCGAACTTCTGCTGCAGTGGCTGCTGATTGCTTCGTAGTACTGAGACTTAGCCCTTTGTGCCACCAGGGAGGCCCCCTCCTGGAAGTATCTTAAACAGAAAACTGGCAAGGTGGTATTTTCACTCTAGGAAAGTACCTTTGCCTATCACCCCAGGAGCAGGCATTTTGTGGCCCTTCCCAATAGGCGATGCTCTGGACAGTGTCAGCTCTGCATCCGGGACCACACACTGATGCCAGACTCAGGAAGAATGCACTCACACTGTCTGTGCCTTTAGAAAGGGGTCCTCTTCTCAAAAAGCCTAGCCCCAGTCTCTCAGCAGCTATCAGGGAATCCGAGCTGTCATTTAGATTTTTGTTTCAAAATGAAGCAGCTTTAATTGGTTCCATTTATATGTATCTAGCTCAACTGGAAACACTCGGTAGTAGTTCTTATAGTGAGCTCTTATATCTCACACTTCACACAGTGGGGCACTCACCTATTTAGTACTCACCAATTGTCATAAATTCAGAGGCTTAACACAAAAACACTTACTATCTTATAGTTCTAAGGTCAGATGTTTGAAATGAGTCAAAATGGACTAAAATCAAGGAGTCTCCCTAGTTTCTGCTTGACCCTAATTTCTCCCATTCCAGATAAGAGTTGAGGAATCATCTTGCATTTCTGAGGCCAGAGAGCATTGATATATTTACTCCACAGTGAGTTTGAGTTTATCAGTTTTGAAAATAAGAAATTTAATCAGAATGAGATTAAGTCACTTGCACCAGCACCCACAACTGGCAGGCTTGTTGGTTGTTTTAGTTGTATGGCTTATATATTTGAGGAGGTGGGTTGTTTTCTGTCAAACCCATTCCTATTAGATACCAGCCAGCTGCCCACCATTTTGGGGATACAAATAGGCTAGTCTGCAGAAGACAAAGGCTCTTCGCATCTTTTGAGAAATCCTGAGCTCACCGGACAGTCTATTCTGAGAGCCCCCAAAGAGGAGGAGAGGGAGCTTTCAGGGAAGCCAGGACCAGCAGAGAGATCCCTGGGAAAGAGAAGAGAGTCTGAGGCCCTGGGACAGAGGAATCCCCTGGCGGCAGACATGACCCCACACAGCCGCAAACTAAATGTCCTCCTAATGGGACCATGTACCAGCAAGACAGGTGACCAGAGGACGCTTCCCAGACTGGTGGGAGGGAGATCTGGGTTCTTGGAATAACCAATGGAAACCAAGGGTGAATTTCTCACCAGCCTGGAAGATGGGGGCTCCCAGTAGAATTTATGCTCCACTTAAAGGGAATAAAGAACCGAGATGTCCTGAACTGCATATTCTGAGCTCTTATAGCTCACACTTCGCACAGTGGGGCACTCACCTATTTATTTTCTAGATCCGTCTTCCCCTTAGTCATTCTCTCCCCAAAAGGCAGGAATCTCCTGGGTGTTCCTCATGGCATGTCCAGTGCCCCAGCACATACTCACTAAAGTGTGCAGGACCTCTGGGGAAGGGGGGCCCCCTCTAAGTGTGTAGCCTCTGGAGAAAAACGGGGCGTGTTTGGGACAAATTAGGACTTCAAGAGCATAAACTGTGTATTGGGGATGTGAGTAAGTGGGCTTTTGAGGGGACAGGTTGAAAGCGATGGAGAATGGGACAGTGGGGGCGCCAGGGGGTTCCCCCGCGAGCCCCGCCTGAAGCCGGGTGCTGGCGCGAAGTGACGCAGCGCGGTTTGGCCGCTGCGGGGCGCCGTAGCCCGCTCCGTTGCCAGGGGAACGGGCCCAGCGCCGGACGAGGCCCTGCCAGCCTCGGCCTGGCCCGGCCGCGCCGCCAGCCCCCCGGAGCCCGAACCCAACCTCCGCTGCGCAGCCCGAAATGGGGCCGCGCTCCGGGGCGCTGAGCTGCCGGACCCCGGGTCTCTGTTGCGAGGGTCTGAAGTGCGACCACCCAGGGGAGGCGGACGGCCAGGGCGGGGACTGAACCGCTGTGACCTTGGCAGGGCCGACCAGGCTCCGCCGTCACCGCGCGCAGGTGAGGAGCCCCCGCCGTTTTTCTCGCCTCGAAGCCGGGCTTGAGCCAACGGGTCACGACTTTCAGCCCGCCAGACTCTGGGTTTACCCTGTGCTGGAGCCCGGGGATTTGGGCTCCAGGGACTCAGCAGAGCGCGGGACTTTTCTCGTAGTATTTATCAGGTTCACAGGTCTTCGCTGAGTGCCTACTCTGGGCCAGGCTCTGCGCCAGGTGCGGGGCCACGGAGGGCTCCGAACAGACTCGGCTGGTCTCCAGAACCCACATTGTGTTTAGGGAGGGGGGGCCTGGGGGCGGGAGGCAGGCGCCAGATACGCGACTAAAGTGATTTCAGATCAGGATGCGTGCTCTGGTGATGAAATGGAGAGGAGTGTTAGGGAGGGTCTGCTGTAAAAGGTGACTTTGAAGCTAAGACCTGCAAGTTGAAAAGGAGCCCGCATTGGGAAGGAGAAAGGTGTTTCTGGAAGAAGGAAAAGCAAATGCAAAGGTCTGGAGGCAGCCAAGTGCTATTAAAGAACAGAGAGGACAATGGAGCCTTGAAGGATGTGTGTGTGGAGGTTTTGTGTGTATGTGCCTGTGACAACTTATTCCTAGCAATAGAGAAACCCATAGAAGAGATCTGAAGAGTTACAATCTCTGAAAAGCCCACTCTGGCTTGGGTGGCGTGGTTGGGACAGGGCACAGCGGAAGTCAGTTAAGGGCCATTTTAATTCTGCCAGGCTAGCGGTGCCCCCGAGAAGAACCTCGTCTCTCTGAGCCTCAGTGCCCTCATCTGTGAAAGGGGGGTGTTGTTTTGCATGCTCTTGATGAGATGAAAAGTGAGAAGCCAGCCATACCTGAGGCCTTGGAGCCCAGAGAGGTTAATGAGGGAAGTTTGAAACCTTGGGCCCTACCCAGTATTGTGAGTGCTTAATCAGTGAATTTCCTCTAGGACTTTAAAGCAGTGCCTGGCACAGAATAGTTCCCTCTAAACTCTAGTTATAGTTGTTATTGTCATAGAAATGCTATAGAGGAGCCGTGATAGAGACTTGGACTAGGGTGATGGCAGCCAAGATGGTGAGAAGTGGTTTTACCTCTCTTCGGAAGGAAAGCTGGATGCAGAGAGGGATGAGGGGTGGTCCCTGCCTTTCTGGAACTGGTGGTTCAATGTGGGAGACTGGTTTGTAAACAGATAATCACCATGAGAGACAACCCGGGTGCTTAATTAGCCAGCTTTTTCCCCCTCTTGTTTTTCTTATTTTGTTCTGTCACAACTTTGTTCATAATAACTGTTTCTTGGTGGGTGTTCCTCAAGACTTGCCCCTATAATCATGTGAGTTGATGTCCTGGTTAAAATCAACAACCCTTGCCTCCACTCCTTGGCCTTGTTTCTACTCCATGTTGCTCCTCCTCCGTGTCCCCTTTCCTTGGCTTAATTTGAATCCTAAAGAGTTTGCAGTGGTTGCTTCAGAAGATTGGCACAGAAAATGTTTGCAGACCATGTTAGTTCAGGAATGATTCAAACTTTTAGCTCAGGAATGTCTTTTCTTGTCCTAGCATCAGACATCTGTGTGTTATTTGTAAGAAAGTAAGGACTCAGCCACATTTGAGACCCATGACTGGAGGATCCGTGACAGCAATGTGAAGCTCTGCTTTATTTTCTGGGAGGTGTGATGTGCATCTGTCAGTCAAACTGTTGTTACCTTTCAGAATTTTAAGTCCAGAGACTTCTCTGGCACCAGTAGGAAAGAGTACTTGTCCCTAGAAACTCTCTTATAAGTGCTTTTTTTGCTCTGCGAAACTGTGTACCATGCAGCATTTCCTTTCCAGGTGTTTAAATTGGGCATCTGTTAAATCTCAGTAAAAATTATTTTAAAAGCAGATCCTGAGGGGGGAAAAAAACAAAATGGAAAACTTACATAGAAATATCCTTAGAAAGTCACTCACATGGCAACCATAAATCCTCCACCAAAATGAGAAGGTGGTGGGGAACGAAACCTTCCCGAGGCATGCACCTTCCCTTTGGGCTCTGAGTCACAGGGAACTGAGCTGGCCCTGAGCCAAAGACTGGGCCAGGGACCTGCCCAGCTTCTCTGTGGTGCTGTCTGTTGTCTGATGCTGGCTTTGACAAGGTCCCCAAAAGCTCCTAGGGAGCTCCGCGACTCTTCCCCACAGCGTTATAGCTGACCAGCTCAGAATTGCTTCTGAGAGTGAGAAAGCATTTTACCTGAAAGCTAGCACTCTTGTTGCATGGTTGTTAGGCACGGTTGGTAGGTTGTTCCTTGTTTGGCTGGCTGGTGCTGGATGCTGGGTCACAGGAGCATGTTTGGTCCACATGGGCAACCCACTGGGACCAGAGGGCAAGAGGTGGCACCCCTCACTAAAAGCAAGGCTCTCTCCCTTTGCCACTACATCTCCTTCCTAGAGGCTGCTCCTGTATTTGCTTTCTTGCACTGCTTTCCGGAGAGAATCTGTGCGTAGAGGAACATGGAGGTCTATCCACTCCATCAGTATTCTTTTCACTGTGGGCTTGTTACCAGCCTACAACTTGCTTTCCACTTAACTGTGTGTTAGAGGCCACTTATGAACAGTTCCTCATTTTTTTTTTGTTTGAAAGATTTGTTTATGCATACCAGAACTGGGGTACAGGCTAGAGGCATGGGGGTGGTGGTGAGAGGATCCACACAGAGTGGGGAGCAAAACAGGCAGATGTTCTGAAACACACTGCTGAGAGGAGCAGCAGGCAGGTCAGGAGAGGTCTGCTGCGCCATGTGGGTCAGCTCCCTGAGCAGGGATTGAACTCTTGCTGCAGTGGCTGCCAATGGCTTCATAGTGCTGAGACTTAACCTCTGCACCAACAGGGAGGCCCAAGTCCCTCATTGTTTTTGATGTGGTGTAGCGTCCTTTATGTGGGTGTATCATAATTTATTTGTATTGGTTTTGGTCCCTTTTTATTACTTACAAGGCTGTGGTGAGTTTTGTGTACTTAGTGAATACATGCATCAAATAAATACCTCCATGTGGAATCTGGGCCCAAGGGTTTATGTATTCTAAAGTTTGGTAAGACATTGCCAAATTGCCTCCCAGCAAATGTTTTTGAAAGATGAATAAAGGAGAGACCCAATGAGGTGGCTTTACGACATTTGCCCCCCAGCTCCCTCAGTCTTTGAGCACGGGTGTGGAAACCAGAGCTGAGCTCTTTCTCTAGTCCTAGCCCTTTTCCTGACCCCAACCTGGCTGTCCCTATTGGTGGCTTAGGTCCTTAGGCCTAAGCCTAATGCTTTGAGCCCCAGCATCAGCCCTGTGGCTTCGCCTCTGACCCTTCACCCTACCCGCCCTGCTCTGTGCCTCCCCTCACAACCCTCATAGCAATTAAGTTGATTTCGGTCTTGAAACCCTCAGCCATCTGACAGGAATGCCATGATACCCACAGCCTTGCCTGGGCTGGGACTTTTTACCTCATTTGGCTCTTTTGACAAAGTTGTGCATGAATCTCAGAACATTCCTAAATATTTTTTTTTGGTGGGAGCAAAGGTAGGCAAGAGGAAAGCAGATATGGTTCATAGTCAGAACTTAAAATGTTAACATTTCCCATCTAACATTTAAATTAAGCATTCACGTTAATGAAGCTTAGCCTTATTTTGCAAAGCTATCTCAGTCTTTTAGCAAGTGACTGTTAACACCATAGATTGTTGCCACACTGTCAATGGCCTTCAACTCCTGGGGACAAGGAAGCGGCCTGTACAAACTGCAGTCACCTCAGAAGCCAGGTGGGCCCCTGGCTTTCCAAGGCAGTAGCTACCTGTGGCCACAACACTCAGTGGCCCCTCTTTGCTGCTGTCTTCCCTCCACCCTTGGCAGCCGACTCTCCAGTGTGTTCTGTGGAAGCAGGCAGTATGCAAAGAATGCTTTGTTTCAGCCCAGCAAAGACACAGCTGGGGCAACAGGTGGGCAGAGAGGAGCTTGTGGGACTGACCTCCACCTCTCTACCTGCTCCCTGCAGAGCACAGGGATGCTGGGCAGCTGGCCTCCCTGGGACAGCCCAGAGGGCTCTGTCAAGGGGAGCTGTGACACCTGACATTCAGAAGGCATTTATGTGCAGGACCACAGAGTCAGCACCATGTGTAGCAGGGCATCCCTACCCCTGGGCTCGTTTGTCACCTTTGGCTGTTTTGTACTGAAGACCAAGCAAATGACTTGAGGACTCCATTTGAGTCCCTAAGAGAAAACTGAGGCCATTCCATTTTGGCCTGAGGTAAGGTTACTCAGGTAGACTTTACATGTGCCAGGCTTGGCTTGCATGTGGCTCTGAGCCTCAGGTGGGATGAGGGCATAGTGGCCAAGTGTGCAGTCAGGGAAGTAGCCAGTGGGCCTGGGGAGATAGGGGGGTGTATGGTGGCTGTGTGGAATGGGGGCTGGTTGGAAGGAGGAGGGCTGGCCAAAGCGAGCTGGGTGGCTTCAGAATTCTACACCACTGACGGTGTCTACATTTTATTTATATTTCAGATGTTTTTAACTCAACAGACATTTACTGAGCACCTACTATATACAAGGTATGTTCTGGGGGCTTGCGAGAGGGGACATGAGGAATAGACGTGAATGAATCATACTACATTTACTGCCTTATGGGAAGCTGATGTAACGGGAGACACGTGGATGGTCAAGTGTTCCAGATGGCAAAGTGACTTGTCCAATAAAGACAGCATGAAGACCTCCTGACTCCACTTGGGGCTTCAGGAAAGGCCTCCAAGATGAGGGGTCACTTGCAGTTGGCTCTGAAGGTTAAGTCACATTTTGCTGGGGTGGGAAGTGAGAAAGGCGATCCCTGGAGATCTGTGAGGGGGTGCAGTATCCTTTGGCTTAGTCAGATTCACTGGCCCACAGGCCTGGGCTTCTGGAAGGAGAGTTTGGCTGCTAGTGTGTTATCCCTAGCTCCTTGCTATCCCCTCAGGAACTCTGAGTTGGCCTGTCCCCCCAGTGTGGCCCTGCCGCCCAAGCACAGGCCCGGACGACGCTGGGGATGGTGTCTCTTTCCTGTAAAGACAGGCCCACCGCCAACTGTGTGTGTAACTCTGGCCACAAGGCTGGCTCTTAATTCCAAAGAGAGGCTGTGTGGGGTGGTGGTGTGCTGCCACCTCGTGGCTGGTCCTTGGCCAACTCCTGGCCTCCCAGCTCATCCTCAAGTGAGACAAAGGGCATGAACCCACCTTTCTGCTCTGTGTACCAGGCCCAGATTCATTTAAAGAAAGTAATTTCAGCTGCTGGAGAGAACCAAAGAGAAACAGTCCCCTCTCTCTTGTGTGCTTGCTTCTCCCCAGCCAAGAAGTCTCAGGCCGCCCTTCTGGGGCAGGGGATGGTTCATGGCCTCCCATCTTGCCCGCGGCTTGCCAGGGGGCAGAGGCCAGACCCCAGAACTGAGCATTCCCACTAAGGGGGCCCTCTCTGACACTTGCATTTGGGCTTCAGGACAGAGGTGACTAATTCTCACAGAATCAGCATGTGTTCTCATCTCTCTGGCCCCAGCCTGATATTGTTACCAGATGAGAACATGTCTTACTGGGTTTAACGTTGACGGCTGTGGAGACAGAGCATGTGGAGTAACGAGCAGCCACACTGTGTCCTGAATAAACCCTGGGCCCTCCTCCTTTGTCCGAGCTGAGGCTGGGACCAGAGCTTCCTCTGGGTCTTTGAGACCAGCCAGCCACTGTTAGCCTCCCTGGCTCCCTGGCTTTGTCATGCCAGAGCCCTGGGTTTCCCTGAAGAGTGGAGGGATGGCTTCATGTCCCAACCTGCTCCCTCCCTGCTGAAAACTGGCTGCCGGCATGGGGCTCTGGCCCCCCCACCCCAGCCTCCTCGGGCAAATAATGCTCTCTCCTCTTTCTCCCTCTGGAGATGAACATCTGCAACAAGCCCTCCAACAAGACCGCCCCTGAGAAGAGTGTGTGGACAGCGCCTGTGCAGGCCAGCGGACCCTCCCCAGAGCTGCAGGGCCAGCGGTCCCGCCGGAATGGGTGGAGCTGGCCCCCTCACCCCCTCCAGATTGTGGCCTGGCTGTTGTATGTCTTCTTTGCTGTGATCGGCTTTGGGGTCCTTGTTCCCCTCTTGCCTCACCACTGGGTGCCTGCTGGCTATGCTGTATCCTTGAGAAAGTGTGGGCTGGTGTGTGGGAGAGTTGGGGACAATAGTTGGGGGACACAGCCGGGGCCTGAAGCTGGACTCTGGAGCTCCAGAGAGCACAAGCTGGCATGTCTCTGCCTTGGGGGACCAGTAACCCCCTTGCCTGGTGGGGTGAATGGACTTAAAGTACTGTGGCAGATTTAAAGCCCCGCACAGATGGGATGGGAATCTCATCAACTGACATTCTGCAAGAGCGATTATAGAAGAGAGCCTTAAAGCTAACTGTGTCCAGAACTAGACAAAGGATAAATTAGAGAGTAATTACTCTATTTATGAAATAACTTTTCACTTTTCAAAGAGTTATGGTAGAATTCTTTTACAGAGTAATTCTCCTGGTACATGTAAAATGTGGTTTTATTTATGGATGGATTACTATGCTGTAGCCAGGGCTGTTTAGGAGCTTATTTATTTTGTAAATTAGCCTCTTTTGAGGGTGAGTTCGAGTTGACAAGAGGTGGGATAAAGATGCCCCAAGGCTTCTGGGAGCATGCGGCTGCAAGGCTGGGGGCTTTGGGGTGCAGCAGGCAGCTCTGTGCTCTGTTAGGGCTGCCCATGAGACCACACCCTAGGCCATGTGTTTCATGGAGGTGGTTCCTTGGGCTGCTGGGGGCAGCAGGGAACGGGGAGGTTGGCAGGGATGAGTTGAAAGCCTGAGCTGGAGAATTAGCACCTGGCCTGATCCGGCTCAGCCCTTTGAGGGTGGCACAGGCCGAATTCTGCCAGTTCTCTGGGCCTCAGCCGCTTCCGTCTGCTTCCCGGGGTACAAGCAGCACATGGCGATGTGGGTGAGCACTAGGATGCATGACCCCTAAGTGTGAGCATGTTTTCCTGGGACACCACAGGGCCCTGAAGTGGTGAGTGACAGGGCAGTTTGTGGAAAAGCACCCTAGAGAAGGCAGCAGCCACTAGGGGCTGCCAGGTTCCCTAGGGCCCCCGGGTCTGGTCATCTGGCCTTAAGCAGAAGAGTGAACTTTGCTTAAGGCGACCAGCAGCCTTGGTGCTGTTAAGTAGAATGCTTCATGGCACATTCCTCCTCTAATCTGGACTGGACACACCCCCTTGCTCAGAGTCACATTATCTGACTTTCTTGCCTCTGGGTTACCTGGGAAATTAAATAAAACTGCGTGGTGTGGAACAAGTAGAATCTGAGCAATAACAGTAAATGAGAGTAACTGGCGTTGTTGAGTGCTGGGGTCCCCAGGCGCTATGCCCCCTACTGTGCATGGATTAGCTTGGCTGATCCTTATTTTAATCTGTTAGGAGAGACACTTCACTAATGGAGAAAGTGGGGGCTCAGAGCAATGAGTGACTTCCCGAGCCACACAGCAGGTACCCAGTAAGGCCAGAAGGGCCCGCTCAGTAGCTGACTGCGAAGCAGCTGTGGAAGGATGGGTGGAGGATTTTGTCCTCTGCACCTTCATCGCCTTGGGCAATGTGGGGGTGCACAGACCTATGTGGTTCTTTCTGTCAAAGTTCTCTTCTTCCCTGAAGGCTCCCTCAGGGCCCCCGAGGAATGAGGTAGGGCAATGCCACGTACCCACTTTGGACCTGGAGCTGAATTGGCCCTTATGGATTGCTTGTAAAGATGAGTTAAGACAGGGCCCCAGGCTTGGGGTGCTAGGCCTCCAGTTAGAGGAAAGGCTTGGTGACTGGAAATTGTTAGGTGTTAGGTGGGGGTGGGAACTTACACAGCAGACTGCAGGTACAGGAGGACATTCTAGACCATGATCGCCAGGGCCGCAGTGCACGCCTGCTGCTCACATCTCCCATCTGGCCCCTTCCACCATCACCTGTACCCAGTGAGTCCTCAACTGTCGATTTTACCTCCTAAATAGCTGTTGAATCACTTCCATGTTTTTCTTATCTGAATGCAATTTAGTTTCTAAACAGGTATACACACACGCGCGCTAGCACACACACACACACACACACACACACACACACACACACTTTCCCCTTCCCTGCAGCTAGAGAGCTCTTTAAGCCAAGTCTGATAAAGTTGCTCTCCAGTTTAACACTCTCTAATAGCCTCTTCCTGCCTTCAGGAATGAGGCTTAGGCCCTTATATGGCCTCAAGGCTCTCCACCTTCTGGACTCTGCCATCTGCCCAACCTCTTCTTGTATTATTTCCTCTGTTGTTCTCTGTTGCCACAACACTGGCCTCTGCCTGGAAGCCCCTTGCCTCTCTCCACCCAGACACTCAGCTAAGTCAGAAGTTAAGAACTACCAGCTCAAGGCACAGTGTGGCCTACATTTTTTTTTTTTAATTGAGGAATAATGAACACACAAAATGAACGGGTCTTAAGTGTTATTTTCTGCAGGTACATTTAAAAAAATTATTTCCTTGGCAGCATTTAAAAAATAAGCAGTTTTCTGGTTCCTTCAGAAAAGTCAGAATTTGGTCACATGGACCTTTGTTCCTGCGTGGCAGTGTGAGCTGAAGTGGAACCACGCATCAGGCACCCATCAGGTTGGAACTGTGCCACGGTTCCAGCCAGGCCCCCTTCCTCTTTACATTTATAGAGTCCACTGGCAGGGACCCCATGTTACCCATTCCTCTCCAAGTCTCAGCTGAGCTGACACTTCAGGGAAGCTTTCTGAATTCCCTCAGACTAGACAGTCGCCCAGCTACATCTCACAGACTTCCGTGAGCGTTCCTCTTTGTAACCCACACATGATTAACCCTTGTGTTTCCCAGCAGGCACTGGGCTCCCTGAGACTAGGAAGCAAGTCTGCCTTGCTCTTGCCGTATCCCTCAGTGCCTGGGTGGTGATGACTTCAGTCAACAGTGGGATGAATGAACCCGGGAGAGAAGGTGGGAGCAGTGTTGGTGTCAGTAGGAAATGAAACATTTGCTCACATTCAGCATGTCTGAAGAGAGGCTCGAATGGTGAGGAGTGGTGGTTAGTGATGCCAGAGAGGTCTGAGAGGACCCCAAGTGAAAGGGGCCTTTGCAGTGAGCTGAAGAGTAAACTTCAGTACGAGATCCACTGCAGGCTTTTATCAGGCAAGGCTTTAGGCTTACACTTTTCAGAGCTCACTCTAGCACCAAGTGAAGGGCAGACTCCAGGGGACCCAGACAGGAAGGGCAGGGCTGGGAGGCGTGAGGGCCTGACCAACAGCAGGGGTAGAGAAGTCATGATGGGCCGCAGGGTTGTCTAACCTGGCTCATGCAGCTGTGTAGGGAAATTTCACTGCTAGGAGGAGCAGGGAGGAGGAAAGGAGGTTGGGTAACTGAGGGGTTCAGAATGATTGATGGATGATACCTGTGGGTGGCAAGAGGATGAGTAAGTGAAAAGTGAATGGCTGCCTAGATAGAATCTTCTGGCAAATTTTTACACATTCAGATATTGCAGTAACTTAACAGCATTTGGCCGAGTCACTGAATAGATAGGTTCTAGAAAAGCTGTATCTCAGCCTTGCTGTCCTTGGACAGGCCCTGCCTATCTCAGTCCATCCGAGGCATTCAGTCCCAAGGTTCTAAGTAACTGGGCTCCAGGGGAGGTGGTGGGTATATGAGTTGTCTCCCCTGCCCACAGGTATGAGTCTAGCCTGGTTCTTGAGAGGGACTGGTTGCTTCCCTCTTGGAATTGACTTCCTATGAAAGCAAGATAAACAGACTCACCATTCAGGAGCCAAGTCAGATTCTGAGGTCAGATCAGCCAGGGCCTGACCTAGGTCTAGCACAATGAGACTGTGACTGGCCTCCTCCGTGGTGGCAGCAGGAGTGCTGGCTTGTGAGCTCTGTTCCTACACAGTCCCTCTCCTCTTCAGCTGGGGCACTCAGTATGCTGAAGAGGTCTGATGTGGAGGCTCTTGGGAGACTGGAGTAGGAGGTGGCCTAGGCAGAGCCTTCAGAGAGCAGTTCTCTGACCACAGAAAGTGGGGGTGGGGCTCCCAGCTGGCAAAGTGCGGAGTGAGTCTTTAACCTGCTGGGCCAGTGCATGGGCGCCATCTTTGCTGGTCACCTCGTGGTGCACCTGACTGCCGTCTCCATCGATCCAGCAGATGCCAACGTGCGGGACAAGAGCTATGCAGGCCCCCTGCCCATCTTCAATCGCAGCCAACACGCACATGTCATTGAAGACCTGCACTGCAATCTGTGCGACGTGGATGTGTGAGTGACGCAGATGGTGGTGTGTGCAGGCAGTGAGTGTGCCTGGGAAACTGCCAGCAGGAGCCCAGGGCAGACAGGGGCATGCCCATAAGTCACCCCCATGCCTCGGCGCCCTTGTGTTTACACAGGGAAGAATTTTGGGTAAAGAATAAAGTGAGGAGGGATTAGAACCAGCAAACGAGGAACTAGCATTTCCAGCAGCTACAGTAGGAAGCATTTGGCACCAGCACAAAGATGTCTAATGCCGAGCTCTGTCAGGATCTCTCATAAGCTTTCCCAGATGGGGGGGGGGGGCGCGGAATTCACACTTGAGTCACTACCGTGGGCTAAGCCCTTAGGACCAACCGCCCTGCAGGGTAGGCAGCGTCTTTCTCATTTCAGAGAGGAGCTGAAGATCGGGAAGGTCAGGGTGCCTGCCTGAATTTAAGCAACAGAGCCAGACTCACACCTGGTCCCAGAGCTGATAGTTATTCTCATTTATGGGTGAGGAATCTGAGGCCCAGGAAGCCAAGTGACTTGGCCCAGGTCACAATTCTAGTGGATGAGAAGCAGGAGGCTACCCCCCCACCCCCCCAGGCTGGTCCAGACTGCCTGCCGAGGACACCTCCCCACCCTCCGGGGCTTCCAGTCTCTAGTCTCAGGAAGGGGACCTGGAGTTGGGTCTGGTCAAGGGCAGCCTCACACCTGTGAAGATCCAGGCCGCTTGGAGCAATGCAGTGGCGTTACAGTGTGGAGAACTGGGTGGCATCAGACCACCCAGTCAGCCCGCTCTTCCTCACAGGTGCTCTGGCAGTTGCTGCCTGTTCAGTGACTCTGTCCTGTAGTGGGGCAGGGTGTTGTGGCCGCCCTTAATACTCCTTGGGGCCCCTTTGGTCCCTCCCTGGGTTGCCTCCCACGTGTTGCTAATGTGGCCCCACCGCATCTGATCACACTGCTTAAAACTGCCCTGACTGCTCACTGAGATGTCAACTTACTCCTCTTTCTTCCTTTGGCCCAGAGGTTTTCTGAAAGAATGCTAGTAAAATTCCCAAAGACTGGCAGTGAAAACAGACTCAAAAACTGATGCCAGGAAGATCAGGGCAAGCCCTGGTCCTTGCAGCCTTGTTCTTTTCTGTTCTTTACCTATGCTCCTGCTCCATTTCCATTTCACACCATCAGCACCCAGATGCCCAGAACAGAGTGGGACCGTGCATGCTCCCCCCTCCTGACCCACCTCATCAGCCCCCCAAGTCGTCCGCAGCACTGCCTCCTCGGGCTGCCCCTCCCAGGAGTGCCGCCAGGGGGCGCGCGCGCGCACCCTGTCCCCACGCTCCGTGGCAGGTAGCGGCACCCAGGCACGGCCTAACCTGCGCCAACTCTACAAGATGGTCATTGGGATCTCCCCTGCTGCCCAGCCAGGCACGAGGAGCCGGCCAGCATTGGGCGTGAAGGACAGGGTGAATGGCTGACCACAATATGCCCCCTCCACCCCTTGCAGGAGCGCTCGCTCCAAGCACTGCAGCGCCTGCAACAAGTGTGTGTGCGGCTTCGACCACCACTGTAAGTGGCTCAACAACTGCGTGGGCGAGAGGAACTACCGGTGAGAGCCACGGCCGTGCCTGGGGGCGCGTTTCCCTTTGTGGGAGCCCCTGTGTGGGAGCCAGGGACCTTGGGCATGCATGGGGCTGGGCAGGGCTGGCGTGTACAGGTGTGTGCTGGTCTGAGGGGGATATGCCTGGGGCCCGGGGCCCGCTGTCTTGCCAAGACAGGGCAGGTGTGGGGTCCTTCTCACGCTGGCCCAGGAGCCTGCTGGGGTGGCTGTCCATCTTCACCTTTGCCCTAAGGCATGGCTTTCTGAGGAGACTCAGAGGGACTGTGGGGTCAAAGGCCAGGCTCCCCATCCCAACCATGGACCCTACTGAGCTCTAAAGCCCTTATCCAGCTGGAGCACCTGGGTGCTGACAGCTGTCCATGGCTGGGCCCAGGCTCTTTCTACACAGTGTGGCATCAGCCTTATTGGGTGTCCTGCTCCTGGTGCTGGTGGCCACATATGTCTTTGTGGAGTTCTTTGTCAACCCCATGCGACTGCGCACCAACCACCATTTTGAAGGTCAGTCAGGGCTCCAGGCCCACTCCCATCCCCTAATTCTAGACCTGTTCTGGTCACTGGTCACAGCCTGCCTGTGCCTTGCAGTCCTGAAGAATCACACAGATGTGTGGTTTGTGTTCCTGCCGGCTGCCCCCGTGGAGACCCAGGCTCCTGCCATCCTAGCCCTGGCAGCCCTGCTCATCCTTCTGGGCCTGCTCTCCACTGCCCTGCTCGGCCACCTGCTCTGCTTCCACATTTATCTCAGTAAGTGCTCCTCTCCCGTCCACACACACCTGCAGCTGCCTTGCAGGGGTCGGGGTTCTTAGGCTGTCGGGAGGTGCCCCGCTGGGCTGTGGAGCCCTCAGCCAAGCCCCTTCCCAGTGCTGGCTCCTCACTCCCTCAGTGTGGCACAAGCTCACCACCTACGAGTACATCGTGCGGCATCGCCCACCACAGGAGGCAAAAGGAACCCACAGGGAGCTCGAGTCATGTCCCCCCAAGATGCGGCCCATTCAGGTAGGGGCGAGAGGATGGGAGAGGGGACCTGGGTGTGGGAAGAGTGATGGATTGTTCAGTGATGATGGGGTAGGGCAAAGCAAGGAGGCCTGGAACAGGATCTGAGGCGGCATGTGCTGGGGACAGCTGGGGTGAGCCAAGTCTGTCCTGCACACATGCCCACTTGCCCTAGAGTGGGCACGGCCAGGGGAGCCCTCTGTCTCCCTGACCCAAAGCACTGTCCAGCCTCTAAGCATGGGCTGGATGGTGCAGAACCTGGAAGCTGGCGGGCTAGGGCCACAGGAGAAGAGAGGAATGGACCTGCGACTGGATCACGGGGTTGGAGCGCTTGCTCTTTGTACACCTGTAAGCCTGAGTCCACATCCCGTTACCCTGTTTAATCCCTACACAGCCCCACGAGACAGGTAATGTTACCACACTCATGTTGCAGATGAGCTATCAAGGCCTAGAAAGGTTATACAGAAGCTGGGCCTGGGAAGAGTTAAGGTCTCTTAACTCTCAAGCTGCAACCCTCCAGCCAGGCTTGGGCCAGGCCAGCCCAGCTGCTGACCAGCCTATCCATATTCCCACGCCCTGTAGCTTCCTGAGGTCAGCAGCCAGGGGTGGGGGTGATTTAGTCTCCCCTTCCTCCCCTAGGGACTGGGAAGGCAGGGGGCCCAGGCAGGCCTTGCTGGGAAGGCTGAGCCGTGGATCCCAAGTCCTCATGGCAACTGGACACAAACAGAGGCTGGTGGGCGGGTTGTGGGAGGGCAGGGGACCCCGCCTCTCCTGTGCTCATGGCCAGCGGTGGCCCAAGAGGCCAGACCTGGGGGAGTACTGGCTGCTGGTGGAGAACCCCCTGGTGTATACCTGCCCTGGGGCCTAGCGCTGAGCCCATGTAAGTGGTGTGGCAGCCTGCTGGGGAGGGGGCATCACCCTCCCCAGCTCGGAGAGTAGTTAGGAGACTCGGTTATGTTTCACAGTCAGTGCTCTGAGGCAGGGCTGGCCTGGGGGTGCTCAGATGTGAGCACCTGAGCCCCTGTTCTGTAGTTGCTGCCGCCTAGGCTTTGGGGCCAGATGTCCCGGCAGCAAGGGAGCCCTGCGGAGGGAGGGTAGGTGTTTGTCCCATGGCACAGAGGGAGCAGAGGTTGAGAGGTGCCACATGCCATTCAGGAATGTGTAAATGTTTCAGGTCAGTGAGGGAGGAGCCTAGGGATAGCTGTGACAAGGGGGGAGGGCTTGAGTGGGGACACTCCAGTGATACCCTCAGAGTTCCCCAATTGGCTAGGAACTGGCTTCTGTTCTATCCTGACACCTTAGGCTCCTAGGACTGTCCTTTATTGCTACCCCCAGTCTCCTCTCCCCACACCCCCCACAAACGCTCTTTTTCTGGAGCCTGCGGGGCATCAGGACAGCCCTTGCCCTTGCCTGCCTGGGCCTTGGAGTTGAGTCCACATTAGAGAAGAGGAAAGATGTGGGGGGAAGATTACCTTGAGGTTCCAGTCCTTGTGACTGGCCTCTGACCCCTTCCTCTTTCCCAGAACTCCTCTGCTCAGGCTGGCAGCCCCACACTCCTCTCCAAGGGTCAGCACAGAGAATGGGCCTGGGGCTTGCCAGGTGCTTCAGTCCTGCACAGTCAGACCTTGGCAGGCTGGGCTCTGTCCCCCAGCTCTCCCAGGGCCCTAAAGGCAGCTACCCCACCCCCATCCTATGCAGGAATGCGGGAGGGGCCCCACTCTGGAGCCGTTGCCCCCAAACATAGGCTTGTTTTAGAGACGGCTGCAGCGTTGCTGTTACAGTGTCATCTGCATTAGTCAAGACGCCTGAGTCTCCATGGAAACGGCTGCTGAGCAGGCGACAGCTGTCCTAGTGCCCGCTCCCCCCTCTCCAACCGCCTGGCAGGGCGGGGCCTCACCGTCCTGGCTCCACCCATACACCCTGGCTCCACGCCCTTCCTGGGCTGGCTCTTTCCTGGCTTTTGTTTCTTCACCTGCAATCCTGGGCGTAACTAGGCAGGACCCGGGGCTGGGCTGCAGGCCTAGGCCACTCCCGCGACCTCCAGACCTCTGTCTCCAGACCCAGTCAGTCTTTCAGGGATTGGGTCTACTGTTTCCAGTTTGCTGTGAGCGTCACGAGACACTGAGGTCTGCCATGGTCTTACATGGGGTCTGGATTAGGCTGTGGATCCTTATTTTCCTCACCACCTACTGCTGTCCCACCTGCCTGCCCAACACACATGCATATAGCAGCTGAGATTGTGCCTAGTACTCAGGGTGAAGGAAGGGTGTGCCCAGGACTCAGTTTCCAGGGAGACATCAATCTGTGCACACAGTATCGGGTGCACACCCTGACCTATGGCCTGTGAACAGCTGCTTTGTCTCCCAGGCAGGGAAAAAAATGCTTCAGAGGCTGGAACCCTGGGAGGAGGAGCCAGGAGTGGGAAAGCAGCTCTGAGCGCCTCTTCCTCACCACCCCTTTTGTCCAGAACAGTTCTGTACTGGGTACACTGGACCCATGGGACTGGAAGCTGAAATTTGGAGGTTGAATTGGGCTTCATGAAGTGAGGGTGACTGTGGGGAGGGGTAAGGTCCAGACATGCATGTTTTAAGTCTCACCTTGCATAGGGGTTTTCCTGGCACAGCAGGGAAGCCTGGAGAAGCAAATTCCTTAACCTCTGTTCCCAGTCCTCCCACAGAGGCCAGTGCAGGGGTGTTGTGTCCAGGATTGGGTGGGCTCAGGACCCAGAAAGCCTTGGGTCCACACCTGACCTTCCAGCCTCCTTTACCACCACCTTCCCCAGGAGATGGAGTTCTACATGCGAACTTTCAGCCATGTGCGCTCCGTGCCCTCTGGCCAGGTCAGGCCTGCCACAGCAAATGCCAAGTGAGTGCCACCTCAGCAACTCCTGCTGTTATGGTATGGCCATCTGAGATGGGAGAGGGGTAGACCAAGGCCAACGCACAGGTCTAGTCCAGCCCAGCATGCCCTTGAGCAGACCAGTGCCCCTTTCTGCCCCTCTGCTGGGAAAAGACACTTTATCTGAATGATGGGTGGGTGTGTGGGTGGTGTGGGGGAGGGATTTGAGGAAACGGTGCATTCAGTTCTTACCCTCCTGCTTCCCCCTCAGTCCCTCTGGGTTCCTTGCCACCAGTGGCCAAGTGGAGCCTCCTCCACCCTCCTCCCCAGAGACTCTGGCTCTGCCCCCCAGGATCCGACCCCAGGTAGGGGGGACCAGTCCTGGGCCCCAAGCCCAGGACAAAGGGGTTGGAAAAGAAACCTTTACTTGCCCCACTCCTCTGCTGCTTTTGGCAATGCGGAGTCTGGGGAAGGGGCACTCAGGATCCCCCTTGTCTCTGCAGAAAAAGAGGAAGAGACGCATGTATAAGGTGCCGACCTCTGGGACCTTGGACCCCGAGCCCCCGCCGCTGCCCAGGCAGCCAGGTGAGCGGCCCTTACTGACCTGAACCTGCTGGGGAGCTCTGAGGGAAGGAGAGGGAAGGCTCCAAGCCACAACCTCCTCTCACGTTCCCTCCCACCCTCGCAGGGCCTCCAGCCCCAGGTAGCCGCTCCAGCTCTTCTTTGGAGTCAATGGGCACCAGCCCGGTGCACGCCGCTGGCCCTGCGGGCGCCTACCATTCCGCGTCAGCCGAATCCATGGACGAGATTCCAGTGGCGCAGACGCGCCTGGGCAGCGCAGCTCTAGCCACCTCTGGGAGCCGGGGCCGAGAACCCAGGCTGGCTCTGCAGCCGCGGGCGCCTGCCGTTTTCGTGAGCCCGAGCAGTGGCGAGCCTGGGGCGCTCAGCGGCAGTGAGGCCGGCCTCTCTTAGCCTGCCCAGGGCAGGAGGGCGGAGGAGAAGCGCCCGGCAGACTCTCTATGCAACACCCTTACCCTCTCCTAACCGATTGCACTTTAGGGGTCTCTAAGGCCGGCGGGATCGGCCCCCTCCCCCACAACTCAGCAATACCCACCCCACCCATCATAATGCTCCAATAAACTTTTTTATGCTTTTGCGGACTTAGTGCATTCTTAATACCGAGGGCTGCAGGCTCTACTGGAGTCAGGTCACTGTCGGATGGCACAGGGGCTGAAAATGGACTGCCGCCCCTACAAAGGGTGCCCTCCCCCCACTGTCATATGGAGAAGGTACCTGAGACGCTTAAGGACAGGACTCATGCTTAGGAGAGGCCCTGGAAGGCTGCCTGGAAGAGGTTTTCTTGAAGATAGAGTTTGCAGGTTTCCGGCTGCCAGCCGCAGCAGTGAAAACAGACAGGAAAGACAACAAACACCAGGTGGGGTGGGAATAGAGGACACGGTGGGAATAGAGGACACGGTCGTAAGTGATCCAAGAACTTTTTCCTGGTGGCAGTTGCACTAGGATCCCAAGCTGGGCCCTGGGATTTGCTCGTTGTACCTGCCTGTCCCCAGGACTCCAGGCTCTGGATCTTACCCCAGAGAAAGCGGGTGTTGTGACCCAGGAGATAGTTAACATTCATTAGAAAGCTGTTATCTTGTCAGCTATGAACTGTCACTGTCACTGAGGGAAGGGACCTTCTCATTCCTCTGCACCCTCCAACTCTCCCCTACTTTCTCACCCCACCCCTCCCCACCCTCCCAGGTCCCCAAGCGCTTAGGCTGCAGCTTTGGGAAATTGGATCTTCCCAGACTGTAGAAGCCTTCTTCAAACTTTGGGTGGAACCCAAGATAGATGGGGCCGTCTTCCTGTTACCGGGCCACCCGAGGAAATCCGGAACTGCAGAAGGTTGGTCTCCCCAGCGCCAAGGCCTGGGGAGCCGCCGGCTGAGGCTGAGGCTAAGGCTGCAGCTCCGCCCCCGGGAGCGCCAGCGCCGGGAGGGCGGTGTCCAGTGGGTGGAGCTAGCATGACCTTGGTCACTCTCTCACCGAGACAGCCCCGGGGGTGGGACTCCGTCTCTATGGAGACCGAGAAACAGGGGATAATACGGCGGAGCCGCCCGGGCTGCAGTCCCGCCCTGGAGCCGGCAGGGAGCAGAGCTGCAGAGCCGCCTGGTCTCCCGCGTCCGTCAGTCCATTCTCACGTCCTTCTGTCCATCGAACGCGCTCTGCAGGAGCAGTCACGAGACAGAAGCCGGTAGGAGACCCGGGTGCCCACCACCCTAATCAGTATCCTGCACGATAAGGAAGGGGTGGGGTAGGAGCGGCCTGGGAGGGGTCCTGCTCCGATGGAGAGAGCTAGATGCCAGCTGAGCGGCCCTGCTATGGACCCGGGTGTTCTACCTCCACCCCCACCCCCGCCCGGCTGATTGATGACTCCAGCTGTCCCAGTGGGAGCGAGTGGCTAGCCCCAGTTCATGGGTGTGGCCACCCCATCCATGGCCTGCATGCCCCTGGGAGTAGAGCCGTGGCCCTGCTCCACCTGATCAGTCCAAGGGTTATCAAGACTCCGTCTTCCTCAGACAGGAGCACTGGATGCAGGATCCCGCCAGTGCCCTGGGACAAGCATCCTGTGGCAGGCAAGCTCCCCCAGACTGTACCCTTAGTGAATCAAGCTTCAGGTCTCTGGGTGCTCAGTGGGAGACTGTAGGAGAGGGGCTGCAGTGTAGACTAGGATTGTGGGCCACAGAGGGCCTTCAGTGGAGGAACTGTGGGTGCTACCAGTTCCAGAAAATGCCTTAGGGATAGGAGAGAGTGGTCACTGGAGAGGGTTTTCAATGTCAATGCCAGTGGTGGTAGGAGGTTGTTAGTTTGGCAGGAGTCCAGGCTGTGGTCACTGGAAGCTCTCGTATTTAAGGGCCTTAACAGTAGACGACGGGTTCTAAGGACTCGCTGAGGGTGTGGTCAGGCAACTGCAATGGGGGTGGGGTGCGCTCAGGGAGCCTCAACATAGAGGGTCCTCACTGTAGTACCTGGGAGGGTAGAAATGGAAGTCTACGGTGTGGACACTGGGCGGGGGTGTGAGGGTGAGTCTAAGGGGCTCTCAAGTATGTGGAGAAGGGGCAAGCTGTGAGGCTACGGCTGGGATGCCGGCGAGGCTATGAATGTGCAGACGCCGGGCCTCCATCCCAGGGAGGCAGCCGCAATGCAGGGCTAAGGGTGTGGTCAGGGAGGTCTCAGGACCCGATTGTGTGAGCTACATGGGGGGACTTCCAGTACAGGGCTTCAGGTGTGGTCAAGGGACTGTGGTGGGGCAGTGGAGGTGTGGGGAAACACTCTAGTGCAGGGCTGAAGATATTCGGGGGAGCTCAGTACAGGGCTCTTGTATGTGTGTGGGATAGATGCTGTGGGAATGGCCCAGGCTCTCAGTGCCAGGGCTGTGGGAGTGCGGATGGAGGCAGCCGCAGCGCTGTGCCGTGGGAGTGACCAGGGGTCTGCAGTAGGGGCCATGTGAGAGCACATCAGTACAGGGCTGGGGCGTGGGCAGAGAGGTCTCAGTACTAGGTTAAGGGTGTGGTCGGGGGGAATAGGCCCAGGATGGAGAGCTGAGGCTGAGTGCAGGAGGGCTGTGGGAGTGTGGACTGGTGTGGCAGAGGTCGGGGTGTGGCTGGGAGGCCTCCTGGAGGGCTAATGGTGTAGACACAGGGGAAGAGTGCTCTGGTCCAGGCCATAGTCCCACTGTCCATCATGCTTCTGGGGGCTTGTAACTCTGCAACCTCCACTTAAACTAGCCCCCCAATCTCCTGTTCTTCTTACACTCCACAGATTGGGAGTTTACAGCCCCAGTGGGTGGCAAGGGGCCAGGAAGCCATGGTTGTGCCCCAGGCACTGGGAGTGCTGGGGTGCCCCACCCGTGGGCCCCTGTTCCCCAGCCCAGCCCAGCCCAGCAGCACTGGGAGCTTCTCCCTGAGCCGCCCTGACACCATCCTGCCCTTAGCAACATTCTCCAAGCAGCACCACCCTCCCTTAGCAACTGTCTCCAGGCTTCACAAACTGTGGCCAGGCCAGCCCCAAGCTCCGGCTCCCCTCATGTTTTTGTTTAACAGCAAATAGTAACAAGGTCCTGGCTGGGCCAGCTGCACCCCTGCCTACGGCATACACCCCTGATTGTGTACTGGCTTCCTTCTCAGCCTGGGCTGAGTCTTGCTGGGTCCTCATGACCTGACAGAGACACTTTCCTCACTAAATACCTGCCCAACCAGCAGCCTGGCATGGCCTTCACCCAACTTGGCATGGGACTCCCAGTGAGGGGGGGCCTGCTCTGCCACCATCACTTCCACCCAAGCAGGCTTTGTGCCAGGGCCAGACAAAGCCATGGCCCCAGCCGCTGCCCTCACAGTCTTTCTGGACAGTACTACTCTGTTCCCAGCCTGGTGTGGGCATCATGATTTCATCTTCTGAACTCTCATCAGATGCCAGGGCTGGCATTGAGCAACAGGACCTTTCCTCTTGGGGTGTTGGGGCCCACGGAGACACTAGGTGCTGGCCCCTATTCCCAGGCAGGCCAGCTCCAGCTTTCAGGGTACTTGGCAGAAGTAGCCACAACTCACTTCCAGCTTTTGAAGGGTAGACCTTTACATTCTGTGCCTTGGGGAGGGGTGTGGCAGCTTGGTGGGGAGATGACCAAGGTGGGTCTCTACAGGGTGGCATGGCAGCGAGCACAGATGTGGCTGGGCTGGAAGAGAGCTTCCGCAAGTTTGCCATCCATGGAGATCCCAAGGCCAGTGGGCAAGAGATGAATGGCAAGAACTGGGCCAAGCTGTGCAAGGATTGCAAGGTGGCTGATGGAAAGGCCGTGACAGGGACCGACGTTGACATCGTCTTCTCCAAAGTCAAGTGAGCCCCAGAGAGTCCCTGCTTCTGATGTTCCCAGAAGGTTGGGAGTTGGGGGGCTGGAACTTTGGAGGGAAGGGGGGAAACTCACAGTGTCCACATACATGACAGGGCAAAGTCTGCTCGGGTCATCAACTATGAGGAGTTCAAGAAGGCCCTAGAAGAGCTGGCATCTAAGCGATTTAAGGGGAAGAGCAAGGAGGAGGCCTTCAATGCCATCTGCCAGTTGGTGGCAGGAAAGGAACCAGCCAACGTGGGCGTCACCGTAAGTGCCCTGCTGGTTTTGGGTGGGCACTGAGGGAGTTGTGGGGGACCTTGACTGGGAGTGGGAGGGCTGGGCTCCCTAATCAAGTGTCCCTGGGGGCACTCTGTCAAAACAGAAAGCAAAAACAGGGGGTGCTGTGGAACGGCTGACCGACACCAGCAAGTACACAGGCTCCCACAAGGAGCGCTTCGACGAGAGCGGTAAGGGCAAGGGCATTGCTGGACGGCAGGACATCCTGGACGACAGTGGCTATGTGAGTGCCTACAAGAATGCAGGCACTTATGACGCCAAGGTGAAGAAGTGAGGCCTCGGAAGGCCCCCCAGCACAGCTGCCCCCACCAGAGGCTCAGGCCTGGGCCCAAGGGGCATGTGGAGCAAGAGAGCCCGGTCTCCCTGCTGGACCTGCCACCCAGCGCTTACTGCCCAGCCAATGGGGCCAGCCCACCAGACCTCCGACCCAGACTGCTCTGTGTCTCCTTCCCTCTACTCGTTCCTCCCCAACTTCTGTCCATCTGGGGAGAGTCTGTGCCTATAGCCTCACCGCCCTAACCTAACCCTGGGCATGGCTGACCCCTACCTGCTTGCCTCATATTTAAGCTGCTGCTCTGGCCAAGTGCCTAAATCTTACCCAGACCTCAATAAAGACACCTTTTGTACCAATATGGACTGGTTGGGTATATGCTGATGAGGGTAATGTCATCCATATCTACTGAATTCTCATGTCGCATGTGTGTCACACCTGCTGATCCTGCCACTAGCAACCTTACCCAGAAAGACACAGTAGGTCCCTCCCATGTGCACAGAGCCAGACTACCTTTGAACGCGCCGTTGGGAAATCTAAAGCCTTTATACCTCAGACCTGATCGAGAGTTCCAACATCACAGCTTGCTTTTTCCAACAAGGACCTCAGTCTCAGTCTCTCCACTTTCATACTAGGAGGGGGATGAGACAGCAAAGTTGGCCTAGGCTTGGCCTAGGCCAAACACTGGCAGAGGCAGTGTCAGGCCTGGCTCTAGACACCCATCCCCAGGGGGCCACCAAGCCAAGTCATTCTGGGGTCCAGCTCAGAATATCTGAAAATGCAGGGCCAGGAAGAGTAAATAGTCCAACTCCTCCCCACTTTACAGCTGAGGAAACTGAGGTCTAGTGTGTGGAGGGGTCTCTGCAGAATTACGCTGGAACCTGGCCTCTCGCCTCCCAGGCCAGGCTTCCTCACTTAGCAAGCCCCAACTCTGGGGACCTAGATGTCCAGTGACAGCTCGGCCCCCAACACCAGCCTTTGCAGGTGAGCAGGGTACCCAACAGTGAAGGGAGTTCTTGCTGATTCCTTCTCATTTGTTCAACATCCCAGATTGGGAGGAAGGTGGAAGCCTTTTTGGTTTCAAGGAATCCTCAGCCTCTGGATCAAACTTTTCTCCTCTCTGAGGCTCTGGGTGTCAGGCAAGAGCTATTCCAAAGCCTAGGCCGGCCAACTCTCCTTCCCTTCCTGCAGTGACAAGTGGGCTGGTTGGGACTTAGGGCCTGCCTAGGCGAGGCGGCTCCTAAGGGTGTTAGAAAAGGCTTAAAAGCACATGCTCATAAATACCTCCTTTTCCTGAGCCAGATAACAAGCCAAGCTGAGCAACTGTTTATTTCCTCATCCCACAGGCTGTCCTGTGATGTTTCTGCCCCAGGTGAGCCCAACTTCACTTGGCAGCAGGGATGTGGAGGAATACCATGGCTCTAGACAGGGCCGCTAGGGATGTGAGGTGGGAATTAGAGGGCAGCAATCAGCACTGGCCATAGCAGACCCTTGCCTGAAACTGACAGTCCTGGGCTCCTCTTGAGTCTGTTCACACACTGCTCTGAAGAGAAGTGGTTCAGAGAACTCTCTCTCTCCTACTGGCAAATATTAGGAAGAATAATTCCTCTAGCCTTTGTTTGAATATGCAAGCTTACTTAAATGAGCATAATAGAAGTGAAACCCAAATCCAGCTCTCACTAAAGTATCCTCACAGTAAAGAGAATTTAGCTATTTCAAACAGAGCAAGGCTCCCAGCCATTAATCTGTAGGTGAGTGCAGCATCCAATGTCTAGGGGAGCAGGGATTTGCCCCTCGTGTGACTTAAGGAACTCACAAGGAGAACCCACAGCCTCTTCAAATTCTACCTTGAAGGACAACAGCCCCCTCTTAACAAGCGGTTATGGAGCTTGGAGGAAATGACTAGATTCTTGGGCTGCTATCAGATGCTCACAGGGGAAGGAGAGAAAGGTTGGAACTGAAGAATTACCTTCCCCCTGATGTTCTGCCCAGTAGGTTGGTGTGCATTGGGCTGGGATCTTGAAAATGACAACCTAGGCTTGGAAGGTTCTGACAAGCTGTCCTGACTCACTAAGGTGCAGCCTTGGAGGACAGGCACAGGAAAGCGGTGGGGTTGGGGGACCATCCTTACTAACATTTCCCTAGTGTGCAAGCTCAATTCAAAGAATTGCTTGACTCCTTGATACAGTCTCCTTTTGTGAATCCACATACAATCCAGAGGTTGGTGAATTTTATTTATAACTTAGAAATGTGTGATCTTGGTTGTGATCTTCCCGTCTCATTATTATGGCAATGCCTACTCTCCTCCCCTGCACAGCATCTGGGTCAGGGGAGCAAACGAGTATCTAATCTTTCCATCTGTTCTCCCTCTGACATGACGTTGAAGATGAAGAGAGGCAGAACACAGCCATCAGGGGACATCCTCTGCCTTCTATGCATCCTCTGGCAACAATAGCTACCTGAGCGACTACTGAAGCGGAACCATTCTTAGAAACATTTCCATTATCTTTTCCCATTGATTTTTAAAATGCCCAATTAGGATTAAAAGAAAGATTGTAACCTGTGTCTGAAATACAAGGTACTTGTGTGTAAAGTGCACGCTGAGCCCAAAGCTAATGTCAGAGGCCTCATCTAGGCTGGACGGCACCAGCTTTCTCCTTAAACCTAGCTCCCTCCCCCTCCCCCTGCAATCCACTCTTCTTACAGGGAAGCTCTCAAACACTAGTCTGCCACTCTGCCACTCCTCCCTTCTAAAATCCTCAAGAAGCTGTGCAACCTCACTCCTCCGTATCTCTTGCAGTCCCTCTGCTCCCTGGCTAGATCATGTTCCCTCCCATCTTGTGACCTTTGCATATACTGTTTCTCTCCTCTCCCACTGCCTGTGCCCTGGGCCCTATGCTTTGGCAGGTACCTTCCATTCATTCTTCTGGTCTCAGCTGAGAGATCATCTCTTTAAGGCACATTGTCCTCACATTATACCTCCCAGGCTAGGGCAGGCCCCTGTCCTCTCTAGGCCCCATGACCCACATCTCCCTTGGGGGTGTCCAGAACCCAGTTCTTGGTAGGAGGCTCTGCACCCCCTCTATCTGCCATTCTACTCAACATGTTCTCATTGACACTTTCTTCAATTGCCCAGAAGATGAACAACTCACATCTTTCTTTCCAGGGCATCTTTAGGCTTTTGTTTAAACCTGTCTGGTACCAATGCCAAGCTCAGAATTCCATCACAGGGGCTTTGGCTTTTCTCCCTGACTAAAGGACTGCTTCAAGGGCAGACACCAGACCATATCACCTTTTCATCATAGTATAAGGAAACTTAAAACATGTTTGATGAATCAGTAAACATGGATTCTCTAAAAATTTCTTCTAAAAGGAAACACATCTAAACAGGGATGTTATTTTTTAACCTGTGTAACCTATTACACAATTTCCAGTGACAGTGAAGAAAAGGTCTGTTTTTTTTTTTCCCTCTTCAACACTTTCAGCCAAATATTTTTTTTCAGCCAAATATTTCTATGTGACACAATGACTAGGACAAAGTGCCAACTATTTCTGTAGGCAGAAGGAAAGAATGATTCCATGGGAGGAGACAAAGAAATAAAAAGGGCCAATACAATGTAATCAGAATAAATTTGTTTTGCTTAAGCTTGTAGTAAAAACCACTATACTAGTGGCAATGGTCCTGGGAGCCCCCCGCAGCTAAGAGGGAAGCTGCAGAAAAGAAAAGGTGTTCCATAAACACCTAGTTCCATAAACTAGGCTCTGGGACAGAGTCTGAGACACTCTGTATGAGATACTGACCCGTGTCATGTGCCACTGGAGAGGAGGAAGACAGAGAGCTTTTCCCAAAGGGTGACGATCTCCCCAAATGATGGCTTGTCTCAGGTGGGAGGAGTGCTTTCCCGGAATAGCCTTTTTGCTCTTTATTCAGCTGCTGCAGCAGATACTCATTAGTTACCACCAGGGATCTGCAGCACAGGGGGAAAGGCAGTGTTGAAGCCATAAAAGCAAAGTAGGTGCCATTCAGAACTGAAATATTTACTAAAGACAAATGTAAAATGAAGTAATATCTTTAAATAGAAAGAACTGTCCAATTTATGAGTGGATTATTTTAGAAGCAGGCTGACCGTTTCTTCATTACAGTTCTGGTTCTGTTCCAGACTGACTACAGCAATAACATAGTTCACATTTTTTTTTAAGATTTATTTATTTATTTATACAGAACTGGGGTACAGGCCAGAGATGTGGAGGGTGAGAGGATTCACCAGAGACAGAGTGGGGAGCAGAACAGACAGATCAACACAGTACACTGCTGAGGGGAGCAGTGGGCGGGTCAGGAGAGGTGGATCAAACTCGCCATGTGGACCAAACTCACGCGTAAGTGGCTTTGGCTTCTTAGTGCAGTGCTTTAACCTGCTGTGCCACCAGGGAGGGCCCCATCGTTCACATTTTATATTGTAATTGTTCTGTTTTCCAAAGTACTTTCATGATGAGATAAGTAGAAGTACTGGGAGGATGAGCACCTGACCGGGCCTCCAATTTCTACCCTCAAATCTGAACTTGTATATCTTCAAATCTACCCTGCCTCTACATTTAAGTAATGATGACTGTATTCTTCTTCTTTTTTTTTTAAAGATTTGTTTATTTATGCACATAAGAACTGGGGTATAGTCCACAGGTGTGGGGGGGTGAGGATTCACCAGAGAGAGTGGGGAGTGGAACAGGTGGATTTACTGAGATACACTGCTGATGGGAGCAGCGGGCAGGACAGGAGAGGTCTGCTGTGCCATGTGGGTCAGCGACCTGGCTGGGGATTGAACTCATGCCACAGTGGCTGGCAATAGTTTGTTAGCACTGAGACTTTAACCTCTGTATCACCAGGGCCTCGAGGCCAATGACTGTATTTTTGAACTCTGTTACCATGTAATATTGTAAGTCAGCACAGATTGCTCCTCCCACAAATGATGTGTATACAATGCCATTCATTGCAGAACTATTGCAGAAAGACTATCAACTTGCGCCTTTGTGGTGGCCTAGGGGTTAAGTCTCAGTGATAATACCACTACCATCTGAGGTCATTGCACCCACATGGCACAGCAGACCTCTCCCATTTCATCTGCTGCTCCCCTCAGCAGTGTATTAGATCTGTCTGTTCTGTTCCCCACTTTGTTTCTGGTGAACCCTCTCACCCCCTGCACCTCTGGCCTATACTCCAGTTTTTGTATGCATAAATAAGTAAAAATAAATATTTTTTGTTTTTTTTTTTAAAAAGATACTATCAACTCAAATGTCTGTCAATAAAGCACTAAACAAACACAGTGGAGCCCTATACAAGTGGGTTATGAATGAGAACTAACTATATATAACACTGTAAACAGATTTCTAAGATAAAATGTTAAGCCAACATTATGCCCCTTTTTATATGATAGAGAAAAAATACCAATACATACCCACACCCACAATGGAAGTCTAGTGGGAGGAAAGGAAAGGAAAGAAGAGAGGGGTAAGGAAGTAGAATTTGTTTGAATTTATTATATTTTGTAGATTTGACTTTGGGATCATGTAAATGTTACATAAGACTAAGCAAAAAAATTTAAAAGTTCTCTACAAATGGAAAGTGAAACAAATTGATCTTACATTTTGAACTGATTACTAACACACAGAGGGCCCTCCCTGGTGGTGCAGCAGGTTAAAGCTCAGTACTGCTAACTTGGCCCCCACCCACTGCTTCTGTGAAAGTTCAATCCCCACCCTGGAGGGCACAGAAGGCGCAGCAGACCTCTCCTGACCCGTCCGCTGCTCCCCTCAGCTGTGTATTTCCTCGATCTGCTGTTCTGCTCCCCACTCTGACTCTGGTGAGTCCTCTCATTGCCCCTGCACCTCTGGCCTGGCCCGCAGTTATGTCTGCATAAATAAATTTAAAAATCTTAAAAACACACACATTGCAATTTGATACTAGATTATTAAAAGATATATTCTAATGTTCTTGAAGTGTGGCACCTAGACCAGCTGCAAGGGTCTAATACTGCCTCAAATAGAAATATAAGTTTGCAGTTCTCAGACCAAACCTTCTGCATCAGAAACTTGGGGGGTGAGGGTAGGCAAGATGCATTTCAAAGTTTTTCAGGAGATTCTGATGCATACCTCAGCCTGAGAATCATAACTTGACATTACTTATGTTTGAAATAATCATAATGAGAAAAATACATTTAAGAAGTCCAAACAAGTTCTGGGTCTAATCCTCTGAAAATGAACAAGCTATTTCAAGGAAAATCAGGAAGTGAAGTCTGGGGCTTTAAGTCTGGATTCTTACATTCAGATTTCACTGAAAATTCTAGTAAAGGTGTCTGACAAGTCAAGATGTCAAGGGCGTCTCTAAATGTACAACAGCAGGGAGGCTCCCTCTGACGTCTTGTCTACCGGCACACTGCGGGTAGTGCTTTGAAAAGGCTGATGCTAGTGAGCTCCTGTGATGAGAACATACACATTGGGCCCTCTCCCTGTCACCCTCTCAGCATATTCCTGACATTTCTTTTGTAATCATTAGCAGCCGGATGTTTTCCGAAGAGCCAGATGACTGACTTTAGGTATTCATGATGTCCAAGGGAAGCTGGCTGACCCAAACAGCTCTCTCCCTATATCAAGTGAGAAACTTGAGGTGTTGTAACTCACCATTGGCAGCAAAGACATTTAGCACCTAATGTATTTCGGAAGCAGTACTTTGATCCCTGAATTAATTGGCCTACATACAGGAGACTTACACATAGAGTGGAGTTAATTTTAAGAAGTATGTAGATATTGTCAAGCAAAATAAAGAGATAAAGGGGAGTAAATATTGTTTCCAGAGTCAGTTAACCCTGTCCTACCTCTGACTTTCATGGAGAAGGGCCACTGTCTCTTCCAGCTTTTTTAGCTGGGCAAGTTCCTGGTTCAGGCAAGCTACCTGCATGTTCAGCTGTTGGTTTTTGCGCAGAAGATCATCTACAAAAGGAACAGTAGCCAAGGATGAGCAGGATTCCACGCTGCAAGTCTTTGAGCAGAGCTTGTTCTCAGGTGGACATCCTGAAAAACTGGGGGCCCCTCTGTACCCACTCCCACATTTCATTCATGTTCTCTCCCTTGTAGAAAGCAGACATGGTGGCAAGAAAATGGGGTTTAGCAACAGATAGATCTGAATTAAAATTCAACTGCTTACTATTTTACGTGCTAGTTTATTTTTTCTGAGTTTCCCTGGAGATAATAGCCCTGCCCCAGAGCTCTGCTGTGAGGGTTAAGGAGACACTAACAGCATAGACAATCAGTAATCAGGCCACCCTGTAGTCTCCATTTTAGTTCATGAATGTATCTTTCACTCCCTGTAGAGTGTGTAAAAACATCTGGAACTGTCTCAGGCAATAAGTGCTCTCAAAAACTGGATTTGTGGCCAAGACATTCATACCTAACTCACCAAATGTTACCACTGCCTGTAAAAGTACAAGAACTATGGTTGTAAGGAAGTCAGTGTTCTGGAACAGTACTTCAGACTTTAATATGCTTACAAATCACCTGCAGATCTTGTTAAAATCAGATTCTGATTTCAGTCAGTCTGATGTAGGACCCAATATTCTACATGTCTAACAAGTTCCAAGGTGATGCTAATATTGCTCAGTTGCTACTCACGCTTCGTGCAGCAAGGTCTAGTGGAAAACAGGGTTGCAAAAATTTCATTTATCACCAACCAGTGAGCCCAAATACTGTACTGGGCCTCATGGTTGACTGAAAATAGGTATCTGGTGAACAAACACATACTTATTTTTAGAGTAGGTAAGTTGAGATGCCTTAATTATTCAGGTTTGTGAGAATCAGATAGTGATGAGATTAAATTCTGGAAATTTAATGCTGACTTCCGTATCATTTCTCATGTAAATCCAAACGCTTATGTTTACTTAGGAGTGCTGAACTAGAGGTTTAATGTCGAGTAGACTTTATTTTTCTAAAAGACTGGCCTAAATAAACCATGATAATAACAAAGTAGCACAAGAGTCAAGACTTCAGTGGGATATTATTTTTCACTTATACAAAGTATTAGCAGGGTGGAGTGAGCAGGCATTCAAATACATTCACAACTGAAACAATCTTTCTTGGGAGTAATCAGGCAATGTGTAACAAAAACCTCAAAAGTGTTCACATCTTTTGACCCACTAATTCTATCTAGGAATGTCTCCTAGGATTAAGTTTTAAATGTATATTAAGATTTACGTACACAGATGTTAAAGGCCACCTTATTTATTACAATACACATATTAGGACTCTCAGTTCCATCAGAAGGGAAAAAAGATTATCTCAGAGAAGCAATTTTGCTCTAAGGGCTTTCATTTCAGATCTTTTTGATTGTTTAAAAATTTCTTTAGAATTACTTTAGAACATAAATAATGGCAACTTAATAATAGCTAACATTAAAAACAACTATTCAGAGGACTAGATAAATATGGTATGTGGTATTATAGAAAATGCCCATACTATTGAGTTAGTAACAGTCGGGTGTAATTATCTAGAGTAATTGTAATTGTAAGGGAAACTGCATTAGGGTTTGAGAGAACATTCTGGGGTAAAGAAGTGTACTGTATTTTGGGATGGATTTAATGAGTGTGTGTGTGTGTATTATTTGTCAAAACTCATCAAATTTAAAATATGTGCATTTTGTTGTAAATAAATTATTTTTTAAAAATAAAGACATAATTGGCCCTTCCTGGTGGTGCAGCAGGTTAAAGCACAGCACTAAGAAGCTAAAGCCACTTCCGCATGAGTTCGATTCCTGCCTGTCCCGGAGGCAACCACATGGCGTAGCAGACCTCTCCTGACCCGCCTGCTGCTCCCCTCAACAGTGTACTTCGTCAATCTGCCTGTTCTGTTCCCCACTCTGTCTCTGGTGAAGCCTCTCGCTGCCCCTGAGCCTCTGGTCTGTACCCCAGTTCTGTATGCACAAATAAATAAATCTTTAAAAAAAAAGAAAGATGTAATTTTAAATTTTGAATTATGGTGGAAGAAAATATACCCCAAAACACTAAAGGTGGTTATTACTGGACAGTGAGGTTATACCTTCCCAACTTTTTCTATAAAGCTCATGTTCTGCTAGAATCAGAAAACACACACACACACATACAAACAGGTGCCATACTCAAAATTAATGGCAAAACCAATAACATTTGGACTTGGTTTACACTGACAAAGAACTTCATTTGGTAAATCCAGACACTTGCATTACAGTTCACCGGTGGTTTCCATTTAGGATACCATGTGAGATCTTGATGAAGGTTCTTAAATGGGTCATCAACAGACAAACAACTGTTTTGGGACACACCGCACTTTGCTTTCCTGAACTTACCGTAAGTATGAGGTTGGGGCCCACTCGCAACTGAGGTGGCAGTACTTTCTTCCAACTGCTGGACTTTCTCTGACAAAATCAGGTTTTCTTCCAGCACTCTAACCAGTTTTTGCTTCAAACTTTCCTTTAGATCAGAAAACAAAATCCAAAAAGATTCAATCTGAAATTCTGAGGAGTGAAGACTGAAAAAATGTTCCCTCTGTTTAGTGATAAACTGAAGGGGAGTAAGACTCTCTATGACTTTCCCATTTAATTCACTGGTAAACAGCTTAAGTGCAGCAATCTTTCCTATGAGTTATCTACTATTCTGTGGATACCAACTCTTGTACTGACATTATATTGACATTCTGAGTCACTTATTGGAAGTTTCTAAAAACTGAACTTGGTGTCTGAAAGTCCTATAATGCTGAGGGTAAAATATTTAAGTATATCATGAGTCACAAACCAGCAAGCCTGGTGCTCTAGGAATGGCCCCTAGTCTAGGACTCTGCTTCATCCAAGGGAGGGAGAAGAAAACCTCAGAGATAATCCAACTTCCCTCATCAGAATCAGGCCCAAACCTTCAAGAATATGATCCTGAACATTTTCATTCTAGGGTCTTTTGTTTTCCTTTTCCATTTCAAATCTTTGTCTAGAATTCGGAGACCAGGGCTAAGCTTAGGGAGTCATCCCCACAGGGATGTGCATGTTGTCCTTGTTATAACAAGTCTTGTGTTCCTGATTTGCCCAGTCTAACCTTTTCATATTTTGGTTCATGGTGATGATTATGGCACAGAGCTGTTTTAGTCTTGCTGCTCTGTTCTTTTCTAGTAAAGGAAGAGTAGGGAGGAAAATGAGAGCGGTATACCATATCATTAGGGACCAGATGCCCAGCCTCCTTCAGTTCCATTTCCCTCCTGCGGAATGTTTTTGGTGTGTCTTCAGGATGTGAGCGACACCACTGCTGACAAGGAGCAGGGACTACCAAAGTCAGAAGCAAATCTCGGGCAGGACCTGCCAAAAATTCAGGCTGGTCACACGGACCAATCTTAAAGCTAAAGCACAGAATTTCTAGTCAGTAACTACTAGCTCTATAGGACAAACAAGGTACTGTAATATCTCCTCTTTAGTAAGAATTTACTAAGTGGATATTAAGAAGTATTTAATGATGGATAAGAAATTATATCCCATATCCTATGGAGACACAACTGTAGACCCTCACGAGTGTAGGTTCTGTGTTATTTCTGAGTCACTGAGGAGTGGCTCCAGGAGACAATATCCTATAAAATGAGAGCAAAAGGTCAATGTGAGGAGGAAAGTAATCGTGCGGGGGTAGGGTGGGGTGGGGTGGATAAGTGTGGGGGGATCATGGGGAAAAGGGGTTGGGGAAAGGGTAGGTAAACTAGGATTTCTCCTGTATTCCCCTTGGAAATGAAAACAATACATCTAAGCCAAACAACTTAGAATTGAAATTTCCAGTTTTTAAACTTGTATATTCCCCAAATCTCCCTAAATTATTCTTCCACTAAACAACCAATAAACACATGGGGCTAACATTTGTAAACTTCTTTCTCCCCAAGTTCCAAAAAAGCATCCCTAAAAAAGAGTCCAGATCACTCACTCATTTAAATTTTTCAAATTTTAAAATTTTAGCAAGGATCTCAAACGCTGATGATCAAAATCTATTTCTGGTGTATTCTATACTGCCAATAAAAAAATCTCTTTGTAGGGCCCTCCCTGGTGGCGCAACAGGTTGAAGCACAGCACTATGAAGCTAGTCACAGCCACTTTAGCAAGCGCTCAATCTCACACAAGGCACAGCAGACCTCTCCTGTCCCTCCGCTGCTCCCCTCAGCAGTGTACTTCGTCAATCTGCCTGTTCTGCTCCCCGCTCTGTCTCTGGTAAATTCTCTCACTGCCCCTGCACCTCCTGCCTGTACCCCAGCTCTGTAAGCATAAATAAATCTTTTAAAAAAAACTAAAAAAATCTCTTTGTAAATATTAATATGACCATGTTCTATTTTATATGTCTCATCAATATAAATTATTCAAAGACTACAAAAAAATAAGTTACAAGAGGAACAAATAATCAGTAGGTAAAGAAAGTATGCTGATAACAAAACAAAAACAGGGAAGGAAGATATAAAAAAAATCCTGCAGACTTGCCTATTACTGTGTCACTGAGATGTTTTGGTAAGTGATCACAAAAACAATTTTCTCTGCAAGTTAAGTGGCTGAATGGCACTATGGGGACACAAAGCAGAAGAGCTGAGCCTGTCTTCAGGAACTGAGAATGCAACTTACCAAGAAACTTCTTGTTGAGGAGAAGGGAGCCAGAGCCATTCCAGTGCTTATCCACAAGCTCTAACAGCTGTCTTAGGACAGTGGCCACATGTGATGTTCTGGCAGAGATTGGGGGGCTGTGGTTTCCTGGCAAACCATACAAACTGCCCAGGTCACTAGAGAGAGGCTCAAGAAAAAAAACAACCCAACTATTTGTCATTCTTACACAATAAGGAAGTGAGAAGTTGGACATTTAAAGTGTTAACATTAAAAAAAGAAAAAGAAAAAAAACAAATAAAAATGGTTTCATCTTTCAGTTTGAACTTGAAAAGAGTATTATTTATGACCAAGGCAAGTGCAGTAACAAATTCAAGAACAATTTCAAAAGCAATGGAATCTGTAATTTTCTATTATAATTTTCTGTAGAAAACTATTCTGGAGAACAAAAATGTTTCCTTTGACATCTATGATTTAATATATAACAAAAGATTAAATAGCAGAACATTTTTTAAAAGCATGCATCACAAAATGGGAAGTAATTTGATAAACATTATATCTCACAACACCTTAAATTTAATATATTAATATATAATACACATAAATGTTCTATAACACTTAACATTTTTTTGGATCAGTACTAATTCAGTACTATATAATTCAACAAGAATTATATAGATAAATAGATATGTATAGATATGTGCAGTAAAATTTACAATTGTTTATTATTCATTCAGATATGATATATATCTACATTAATTTGTATCTGAGTGAATAACAAGTAATTATGAATTTTAATGTATAGCATATCTACCAAGCTTTTCTGTACAGTCTCATGGACTTCAGGAAAGCTGGTATATATTAAAAACAGCCAAATTAGGCCCTCCCTGGTGGCACAGTTGGTTAAAGCACAGTACTAAGAAGCTGAAACCACTTCCGCATGAGTTCGATTCCTGTCTGTCCTGGAGGTGACCACATGGCCCAGCAGACTTCTCCTGACCCGCCCGCTGCTCCCCTCAGCAGTGTACTTCGTCAATCTGCCTGTTCTGCTCCCCACTCTGTCTCTGGTGAAGCCTCTCGCCGCCCCTGAGCCTCTGGCCTGTACCCCAGTTCTGTACGTACAAATAAATAAATCTTTAAAAAAAAAAAGCCAGATTACTTCCCAATCTTATATTCTTTGATTTAAAAAAAAAAATTGATGCTTGATTAGCTAATACTCTCATATCTGACAGCTATGAAACAGAACCCCAAAGACAGGGATATTTATGACTTGAGTCACACATGTGGCCTATGATTAATAAGGAAAGGCATTACAAATAGGATAAATATTTATTCCACAGATCTGTACTGGTTACTGATCATATTCACAGGGAGCTTTTAACAGGCACGGTGAATCTATGAAGAGGTAAAAGATGAGGTCTTTTAAGAAGTTAACATGATCTGGGGAGAAATTCATAAGGCCTAGTTATACCACAAAGCCACTTTAAGTGGTACCTATCAAAAATGAATATTTGATGTCAATGGTTTTTCAAATATTGGTAATTTGTGTTCTATGGAACAAGTAGAAAACATATGGGCCTTTAAACATTTTCTCTCATTTATCACAATGGTGAGGATCGGGGATAATTTTTAAGAACTTTGAAATAATTTTATTTTTTTCAGTTGTAGTATTCAGCAAATTATGCCTCATGACTTTTTGATAATATTTTAATTATTTTACATAACTTGCCTATGATTCTAGTCAACTGGTCAAAAATAAATTTTCTAATCACAAGTTCACATACAGTTTGTGTTTCATGGGATATTTTAAAATAACTTTTAAAATGTTCTTTTCTTTTTAGCATTTTTTGATATTTTTATAGAAACTGAACAGTATGTTTCTTTTGCATTTATATTCAAGCAGCTCTTTAATACAGCTTTTAATATAAAGAAAAATAGTATCTATAAGGAAAATAGAAATGGGAGTTAGGATAGAAAAGTACACTGAGATTATAATTGCTATTTAACAATAGAAAATGAAAGAGGTGGAACAATTCTTAGAACATGTCTTAATTATATTAGCATCCCCAATACCCTAAGTGTTGCTATGTATTCTGGCAAAAAAGTGGGGGGGGGCAAGTAAGAAAAATTAAGAAAATACTGTTCCTTTTGTTGTAAAAAAAAATTAGTCACCACCAAAGTTTTGAAAACTTAATAGGAAGTATTTAAAGAGTAAGAAAAATGACTCCCCCCAAAGCCCTGTAAACCCCAGCCAGTGCACAAAAATATTTCCAATAATTCAAAAATAAGTGACTAGAAATAGTTGTTTTTGACAAACCACCTGCTTCCTTTAGGGTAGTATATGAGTAAATGACACATGATTAAATTCATAGGACAAACATCATGGGCTCAAGGGAAAAGGGGACCCCTAAGAGCACTGGTTCCTGTAGACTTGATGATGAAAGTAGGGTCTGAGGAAAAATTAATATTCAACAGGCAGAGGAATGCATGCAAAGGCAGGAACCAAACTCAGTAAGAATGAAACTCTACCATACAACACTAACTAGCATACTACAATGTTATTAATGATATTGTGTATGTGACACTGGTTCTTGATTTGTTGGTCATTCTCTGAATCATTCTCAGGCTAAACTCCCTAGCATACTCTAATTCATCATCTGCTTGCTGCCATTGTGGAAAAGATTTAGAATAATTTAAATTTCTAGACAGTAAAGCAACGCTTTTAGAAGAATGTTGTCAAATAGTCATTTGTGGCCCAAGAAAATACGTAAACGTGATATGATTATGAATGTCAATGCAACAGAGATCACTTCTGACCAAACTAGAGTTCTCCCCTCACATCCCAACACATCCTAACATCCCTAGCAACTTTTGCATTCCTTTCCACTGGCAAGCTCTGTTGGCCATTTCTTCTTATCAAAGTACTCCCCTGTCATGTTTATGCTCTGGAAGCAGATTAGGGACTCTTCCCTGTGAAGGAAATGAGAAAATGCAGAAGAGGGGAAATGACTTTCCCAAGGGCAGAAGAATCACAGGCACTACTAGACTGGCAGTATTAAACACTAGCTTCTGAAATTCCTTTGTACTTTCAGCGCTATTGGTCAAAACAACTGCATCCCACAACAGAATCCCATTCTGGTAGTGGACCTGATATATTTCTTGTACAAGCACAAACAAGCCAACACTTGCCTCAGTGACAGTAGCATCTCTGAAGCCATGCTTTGGATTCAGGGTGGCAAGGATGTTGTCTTTCCTTTTGAATCCTCTTCTTGATGGGCTTAATGACCTTTTGGTTGAATTCTCTTTGTTTTCTGAAGTCCCAGAAGGCAACAGCAGCGTCCGTAAAGAGTCTTCTAGGACAGAGTTGTTTGGGAAAGAGCCACGTGCTGATGTTAAGTCACTGAGGCTGGTGGATAACTGTTCTACATTGACCAGCAAAGCAGGGTCACTGTTGAAATGGGTTGTGGCATACAGATCTGAGGAAGAAACAGGCTGGGAGATGAATCTGCCATCCTACTCCCTCAGGTCCTACTTCCATCCTTACTCTGGAGTCTAAGGATCACTCTCTCTCTCTCTCTCTGACATACACCATAAACTCTAAATTCGCTTTCTCCAACTGATAAGATCCTAACTCTGGTTAAATCCAGTGATCCCCATACTCCAAGTCTACACCAGAGCAGTATGAAGTGGCTGGAAGGCAACATGCGTCTCTTCTGACCATCTTTACGAGAAAATCACAAGTAACATCTTATTTGGGCCATGTAGCACTCAGTTATCCTACTTTATTACTCTAGTCCATTTACTCTTCTATACTTTGATGACTATTTTACATCTCTTTTCTCAAACTTCCAATATCTGATCCTACCTCTTTGCTTTTAGGTGATCTCCTTTATTACCTGAGGAAAAAACAGTGGTTATCAAAGTAAATGTGTAAATGACCTCATACCAAAATCTACTAGCTCATCTGTCTTTGCATCCATAAATTTCCTTCTTCCTCATTTTTATTTTTGAGGTATAACTGACACATAATATATTACTTTCAGGTTCTGCTTTCCTACAGAAATGAACTGTCTGTGCTTCTAAGATCAAACTCTCCACTGGTGGTCTGGATTCTATTTCCTCTTGACTGTCCAAGGATTTTTTTTCCCTTTGAAACGGTCCCTTTTCTCTCCTGCATCCTCTCAACTTTCCCTCTGTTGAGTCGTTCCATCAGGATTTCCTTGATTCCACCCTCCCTCTAGCTACAGTTCCACTTCTCTACTCCCCTTCATTGCAGAACTCCTTGAAGGGGCTCTATTTATTAAGTAGCTCTATTGCCTCTCCATTTTTTTTTTAAACTCAACTCAATAAGGCTTTTATTAACCTCAAGTCTCCTAAAACTGCTCACTAATGCATTGCCAAACACCATAAACACTTCTCAGTCCAGGCTCACTCCCTCTATACCAAAGACAGCTGATATAATATCGATCACTTCCTCCTTGAAACACATTCTTCAGCTGGTATCACTCCCTCTGAGCTTTTCTCCACCCTACTGGCTACTTTTTCTTTTTTTCTCCCTATGCTGGCTTCTCATTTGATTTCTGATTGTTGGGAGGCTCAAGATCAGTCCTCAGAGGACCTTTCTATCCATATTCACTCCCAAGGTGAGATCTCATCCAGTTACAGTTTTAAAGCCATCTATCCAACTATAATTTCCAGTCACACCTTATCCCCTAAACTCCAGACCAATATGTTCAATTATGAATTATCATATATGAGAAATGTTATTAGGCATCTCAACAGTTTAAAGCCAAACTCTTGATATCTACCCTAAAACCTGTCCTGCCTACACCTTTCCATCTTGGTAAATAACTATATTCTTCCAATCATTCCTACTAGAACCTTGAGTGTCAATCTGATCCTCTTTCTTTCTTACTTCATCTCTGATCCATCAACAAATCATGAGGTTCACAGAATACATTCACAGACTCTTCTACTTACTACTTCCACTGCTATCTTTCTAACCCATGCTACCATCATTTTTTATTTGGAGTCTAACCTCTTAAGTGTTTTAAAATTTTTATTCTTGTTTCCCATTGTTTATTTAAGTCAGATCATATCAATCTACTACAAACTCAACAACTTCTCTCATCGAGCATAAGAGTCTGCCACCTGAGTTCATCTACACATTTCACCTTTACTCTGTTGCAGCTGCACTGACCTCCTCTCTGTTCCTTGAATATGCTAGGCATGATCCAGCCTCAGGAACACTGTGCTTACTAGAAAGCTCTTCTCTCAGTTATCCACATGGCTAACTTTCTCACTTCGCTTAATTCTCCACCTTTATGAGACATTTTCCTTGACTGTTTTATCAAAAAGATCACCTCATTACTCTAAACACCCTTATATTATTTTTCATCACAGTGCCTACCACAACCTGAAAAATAGTTTCTTAATTTATCATCTGTCTTACCCTATTAAGAATTCAAGCTTTGTGATATAGGGACTTAATATTTTTTATTATGATAAAATGCATTAAACTTTATTTTTGTCTGCTACTTTATCTGCAGAGCTAGAAGTATCTAGCACATAGTAGGTAATCAATAAATTCTGTTGAATAAATAACTGAAGAGTGATTTTCATCACACTCTAAAACTAGCTCTTTGCAAGTAACTCAGAATAGAAATGACTGAGACCAGCAGAGAATAGCTGCTACTAGAAATATGTTCCAATGATTTTTAACTAAAATAAAGAGTTCATATTTCTATAAATTTTCTCTAATATGTTAAACTTGTCTCTTGCAAGTTTCTGGGGGTCCCTTAGACCACCAGTTATCCTAAAATACAATTTAAGTGCTAATGCAATTTAAGAAATGTTAATTCCAAAATTTCTAGATATACCCTCTATTTTAATGTCTATGAAAAAGACCTATAAATTAATAGGAAGCTATTACCTGAACTAAGCTTCAAAAGCCTTCCAGTGCTGGAGTCAAAGTTTGACAGAGAAGTTTGTAAGTCTCCACAGGAATGGGATGAGGTGGCCTTCAAATCCTTTGAAGGCTTTATGCTATATTCTCGGTAGTTCTTGCTTCTCTGAGGCCTTTTACCAAGACTTCCTTGCAAGGACAGAGTTTGAGGACAATGACTATCGTAATTTTCCAGATGAACTTCTGAAGGTAACTGATAAGGATGAATCTGGCTAGAATCACCTACATCTAGGCGTTTACCCAGTGAAGCATCATGAATAAGGTGATAGGTATCAGGTTTTGACATCATGTCCTTTTCTGGAGAAGAACCTGAAGACTTATTGTCCAAAAAAGATATTCGGTATCCTTCTCTATTCATCTTTTCTGGGGATCGAACTGTGGATTGGTGAGGTGAGTAGCGTCTGAATTCTAACCACCACAAAGGAAAAACAAACAATGAGAATTTTTCTTGGCCCAGTGATGGTATCTCTGCTCACTGGACATATCCTATATATAATAACAAAGTTCTCAGGGAGAGGTGGGTTATAATTTTGATAAATGGTAGCATAAAAGGAATTCCACATTGAATAACAACAAAACATGTTGAACACTATAAGCAATAAAGGACTGACAACATTCTGTAGATACATTTCATATTAACCTAATTCTCTAGGACTCTCCTAATAAAACTGTAGTATCAAAGTTTTCTGGACACCATTTTCATATCAAAAACTTTGGTGCTTCCCTCCATGACAATAAATGTAATTTTACGTATTCAGCCTATGGAAAATAGTAGATCTATGATTTTGCAGATTCTTCACAACAAAGCTAGGTCTATTCTCAAATTCCACCCAGCGTTTCTAAGTTCACCATTTAAAAAATATTTATTTATGCATACAAGAACTGGGGTATAGACCAAAGGTGTGAGGTGTGAGGATCCACCAGACATAGCATGGGGAACAGAACAGGTGAATTTACTGAAATACACTAAGGGGAGTAGCGAGTGAGACAGGAGAGGTCTCCTGCACCATGTGAGTCAGCTTCCTGGCCAGGGTTCTACTTCCTGTTGCAGTGGCTGGCTATAGCTTGATGGTGCTGAGATTTTAACCCCTGTGTCAACAGGGAGTCCCCTAAGTCCACCCATTTCAAAAACCATTATTATCCTTTGCCAAATTAAAAGGCAGGGAAAACAAAACCGATGAAAATCTCTGTGCTAGGTGCTAATCCAACTACTAATCATCAGTCTCAGATAGCTGTGGCTATCACTTCCAAAAGGTCTCAGAATTAGGCAAATAGAGCACAGACAAAAAGAGAAGTGTCTGTACATTTGGGGGCTTTCAGAGCTTTATATGCAGGAAAAGCTTCCTTAGAAACAGCAACAACAACAAAACCTTATTTGACTTGGTCATACTAACTTAACTTAAATGGTGAAAACAAGTACCTTATAAATCTATAGGACCTGAAAGAATATCAGCATTTTACCCAGAATACAGTGGGAGAAATGTTACATTGTTGAACAATATCTTTACACAACAAAAAGAATCTAAGAAGAAGAGGCTTCAGTTTCAAGTAGTCACAAGTTATATAGTTCATGCTGTCCATTACTGTTGAAGACATTTAAAAAGAGGGATGATACTTATTCTTAAAAGTATAAATGAGTTAACAAGTTGAGATTTCTAGTTCAAAAACCTGTAAAACAGCAAGCATTCATAAGGATAAGTCTAGCATAGCACTTCAAGTCAGTTTTATCATAAGGAGTTTTATTATCACAGGAACAGAAGTCCAAGTCCAGGTTCTATTCAAAGTTAAAAGTATGGCCTCCCCTTAGCCCACCCTCACATGCTCACATTCACTCACACATACACATTAAGATGGAACTCCAAGCAGGAGTAAAGGTAAACTGTAATGAACAGTCCCTGTACTGACTGGTAATTCATGTTTGCATCATCTGGGTGGTCCAGGAACCTTAAGCATGATTCCTGCTCATAATATTCCAGATAGCTACAAATAAAAATCTAATCTGAAAAATATATCTTCATGCAAGACTGCAATCATTTCTGAAAGTTATTTTTTAAATTATGGTAGCTAGAATAGCCAAAGCAAACAGAAAAAAAAAGATACAAGTGAGAATAGAAAAAAATAACTAATAAACCCAAATCCACAGAAACTTCACATACTGGAATTAATAGACAGTCTAGATAATAGTAATGTTTGTTGTGTTTAAATAAAAATATAAAAAAGGTAGAAATTTTCTGCTTACAAAAGATATGACCCAACACATCTGAAAAAGGACTAAGCAAAACTTACAGAGCTTAAAATGAAACAATCAAAATTTTAGAATTCAGGAAACAAACTGATTAGAAGTAGATAGCTAACACATTTAGTGAACTTAATGATGGATCAGAAGGGAATATCCAGGATACAAGTTAGAAAAAAAAAAGATGAAACAGATAAAAAAACAAGAGATGAAGAGGACAAAGTGAAAATATCTGACAAGAGCTCCAGCAGAGCAAGAGGAAAAGCATGGAACACAAACCAAATATATTTTTTTCACACTAGCAGGGTTCACTGGCTGGGTTCTGAATTTTCCAGAACTAATGAGACACAATTCTGACTGAAAAATTGTAACAAATCTCAAAATAAATTGCAGAAAACACAAGAAAATTAGAAAATCTTAAAAGGAGTCAGAGAGAAAAACAGATTATCCTTGCAGGAGTGAGAGAATTCAGCTGACTTCTCAAAAGTAGCCATTAAAAAAGAGAGAGAGAATACCTTTGGTGTTCTAAAATAACTGCCAACTTAGAAATCTCTATTCAACAAAGATACCCTTTAAAATGATGGTGAGGGCCTTCCCTGGTGGCGCAGTGGGTTAAAGCCACTTCTGCACGAGTTCGATCCCCGCCTGCCCCAGAGGAGATCCACATGGCAAGGCAGACCTCTCCTGACCCGCCCGCTGCTCCCCTCAGCAGTGTACTTCGTCGATCCACCTGTTCTGCTCCCCGCTCTGTCTCTGGTGAATCCTCTCACCCTCCGCCATCACTGGCCTGTACCCATGTTCTCTATGAATAAATAAATAAATCTTAAAAAAATAAATAAAAAAAAATTTAAAAGTCTAAAGAAAATGATGGTGAAATACAAACATTTTCAGACAAATAAAAACTGAAAAACTTCATCACCAATCTAAAGGAAATTTTAAAACATATACTGGAGAGCAATTATTTCAAAAGGGAAGTCTGAGATTAAAAAAAAGAAAAAAGAACCAACAAAGTGGTAAATATATGGATAAAATTTAACTTAACTTGGTCCAAAAATAGTATCTGTGTGAGGATTTTAGAAATTCAGAGAGTTAAAATCTATAATAATAATAATACATAAGAGAAATTAAATGGAGTGAAATAAGGTTTTGAACTATCCATAAGAAGAATTAAGTTACTAATTTTAAAATCGTATATGGTAAGGGTATACACAGTTTGGGGAACAATAATAAAAGTATAGAAACAATGTATACCTTATAAGCTAGTGGGGGGGGGGAGAAATGAGGGATGATAGCATAATAAATCCGAAAGACGGCAAAAAAGTTAAGAAAAGGAACAGAAAATAGACAGCCAAGATAAAAAGTGAAGAAGAGAGGAAGCCAGGTTATGCATTCTTCAACCAGAAGGGCATCACGTAGGTAGCATCCAAGGCAGTCCTCCACGAAGACAGGTAATAGTCAGTCCATCATATACAGAGGTCCAGGCTGAGACATCTCCATCTTCTCTTCACATCTAAATTTCATTAATTAGTGGGGAGAAAAATACTCAGGGAGCAAAATATTTACCATCTTCCTGGTGATTCTCATTTGGTATCTCTCTTCTTGTTACTTCTTCCATCTAAAAGAAATTTTTAAAGTTTAGGGAAAGGGAATCAATGGGTGTTCAGATGTGAACTTACTAGACCAGAGGTTCAGAATGTTTTTCTAATAGTTTTCATCCCTGCAAACTAGGGAAAGAGACCTTCTAGCAAAGGTCAAAGTTTAAGTCTATTTTAAGACAGCCACAGTACAAAGACATTTTAGTGCTACTTTCAAGGACTTGTAAGAAGGTTCCTTGAAAATACATAATAGCTGCAGCTGGTAAAGGACAAATGAAGCAGTGAAATACTGTATTTTCTCTACTTTGACAAGCTCAACAAAGAAATTAGATAGTGCCACTTTCCTCTTTCCGTTGAATTAACCTGGGCTTAAACTACTGTGTAACTCAGAGGTCTAGGTTCACATTCAACACACCCACCACATCAAGGCACCCAGTGTCTCCTTTATATTCCTCTGGGCTCTTTCTACACTCTACCCCCCAACTCTCCTACTGGAAGTCTCAATTTTAGTTAGGTTTCTATGGTTGGTTTTGGGTTTAGCTTTGTCTGGCCCTTGTTTATTTTTTTTTTAAAAGATGTATTTATTTATGCATATGAGAACTGGGGTGTAGACCAGAGGTGTAGGGGGTGAGAGGATTCACCAGAGACAGAGTAGGGAGAAGAACAGGTGGATTTACACTAATATACACTGCTGAGGAGAGCAGCGGGTGAGACAGGAGAGGTCTGCTGGGCCATGTGGGTCAATTCCCTGGCTGGGGATGGAACTCATGCTGCAGTGGCTGGCCAGAGTTTGACAGCTTGAGACTTAACCCCTGTGCCAACAGGGAGGCCCTGTTTAGTTTCTGCACATTACACATATAATGAAACTATCCAAAATTTGCCTTTCATCTTTTGGCTTATTCATTTAATGTAATATTTTTTCCAGCTATTTTTTTTCCTGTTTAAAGAACTCCCATAATTAATTTAACTTTGGCAAAGCTCAGCATAGGAGCAACTAGTTTTAATAGACTGAAAATTAATCTGAGACATAATCAAGCAAGGGTTGACACCAAATAGAAAGCCATCTAGGACTTTAAAAAAAAAAAACTTCAAGCATTCAGTATTTTTTCAGTAGTTATTTAGAGAAAGTTATCCCACTTCCTTATTTCTTAAACTAAGAGGATACACAGCATGCTATTCAATTTCCTTTTTCTCTCACTTCAAGAAATCACTTGGAGGTAGGGCTTTTTTCATTAATCTAAAAAGTCCTATTTAATTAATTATAGATTAAAGCACCCTTTGTCTCCATTTCCTTTAAAACAAGATTTTAAAAAATGGTAACTGAGGTAGTTTCTAAGTCACCCAAGTAGAAACGCCCAAAACAAAGAAATCAACTAAGTGATAAGTTGTCTTTTTATAAAAGGAAGTGTTGCATACTCAAACTGAAAAAGTCTTACTAACTTTTTACTAGGACAGTATTAATTATCCAAACTGGAAAATCAGAACCTTGGCATCTTTTCTTTCTCACTCTGCTTATTTTCAGCAAATGTATTGCTCATAATTTACCAAAGAAAATGCCAACAAAAGGAGAAGTTAAATATAAAGTAGTCAACTCTTCTTTCTGCATTATATTCACACATATACGTCTTGTGTGGTAAGTAGTAGCTCCCACCTATCTTTTCTCACTAAAAACTTATTTTTAATCTTCCCATATTGCATGTTCTCTACTTTCCCATTGCTCACAACTTCTTTGCTGTCTTTCTACCTTAACTTTTTTAGTGTTGTAATGAAGAGACAGCATTGGAAAAGCCATCCCTGAGATTAAGATTCAGCAATTAACAGGTAGAGAGAAAATGTAAGAAGCAAGGTAATAGGAGATGGAGGTCTTGGATAAAGAGGAGAAATTTTAAATCCAGCCCAGAACTATGAAGTTTGTAGCCCCGCTTTAAGGTCAACATATAAAATTGCATAAAACATGCTAAGATAATATGTATAAATATTCTACAGTTGATAAAAAGTTAGTAAAGGAGAAGAAAAGGGGAGATTGAAATTAATATCCTGCCCTGCTCTTTCCCTTTAAAGCATCCAAAATACCTTCAACAAACAAGTTTTCCTAGACCTTCACAAATAATTGAGTTCTACTGAATAATTAGCATTATTCATTGACTAGTCAACAAATCAATAGGAAAATGAATATATTACCTGTGTACCCAGTGAAAAAGTGTCTAATTTCTGCTCTGGCATACCGTTGCCCTGCGTTGCAGAAATACTGGTTAAGGAATCCTTTATTTCCCGGCCGGGAAGGGGAATAAAAAGTCCTTTGTTTGAGTCTGTGTTAAAAGAAAAGGCACACAATGAAGCACTGACCAGACTTCAAAGGCAATATATCTTATGGAAATACACTGCAAGAGGAATCACAGGACTGAGAGCTAGTTCTAGTGCTACCACTTGGATCCATGTGAACTTGAACAAATTGCTTAACCTCTTTGAATCTCTCACTTCATTTGTAAACAGTGATAATAAAACCTAACCCTGCCTACTTCTTAGGACTGAGGTGAGGTTAAAACGAGGTAATGGATATAAAATGACTTCATAAATTATGAAGTACTCAATAGAAATTAAGAGGAAGGCAAATATTTTGCACATTTCCTAAATGAATAAATAATGACCTTTGACACCAATTCAATAATCTTCAGCTACCGCGGGAAGATGGCTTGGAATAGACTCCTGACATCATATGTCTCCAAGGCTCTAAACAGTAGTCAACAATGACTCATCATTTCAAACCAGCCTCCTCTGCCTTGATTTCTTCATTTGTAAGAGAAAGACAATTGAGGACCTACTTCATAGAAAAGAACCCTGAATTCTCAGTGGGTTTCTGCTTGTTTTTTGTCTATAATTAGAAAAACTTTAAAAAGGAAAAACGAAAGTGATTTCTAGTCTAACCCACCCTGGAAACTGTTATCACAAAGAGCAAGTTGTGATTTATATTAGTAACAACTATACAAAAGTTTTTGCATATTCTTGATCAATACTTACTAATTGTAGTTATTACAATTAGTAATCTGGGATTTGGGGTCTCCTGGGGGAACTTGGATGAAAACGAGATCGTTTTGTTGAGGGAGGTTTTTTTCCCCCAAAAGGATTGTGTATAAATTAAGAGAATTTCAAAACCATTGGCCTGGCCTTCTGCCAGGTCTCATCTTTGGGCTCTGGCAACAAAAAGCTACCATAAGCGGGTGCAACTGAAAATATGGAGTATGTAAAACCAATGTTTTGAAAACCTAGTTCATCAGTCCACTTGGGGGTTCTAAAATGCTTCCTTTTTCTGACTTGCCCTTTGGGACTGAACTATCCTACTTCTTCAATATAAGATGCTCTTCTACCTGAAAGAACCACTTCTCAGTGACATAAGCTCTCAAGGTTTATGTTCTGTTTTCCACCATGATAGTAAGATAGAAAAAAACCAAAATGAAGCAGAAATTTTTGGCTTAAATCTCATTCTTAGTGGAAAGTGAGAATGGTTAGTGGAATTCTCAGCTTAGTGGAAGCTGTGAATCTTACCTTTCTCTTTCAGAACACACTTTACAGTTGTCCAAGATCCTGTTCCATCCTGATTTCTTCTTGGAACTCCCAATGCACTTAAGTTCTTTTCAGATCCCTAAGTTCTTTTTTTTTCAACCCTACATCTTGGTTCAAGCACACATCCAAGATTTAGATTCTGCTGAATATCAAATTTCTCTTTGGCTTCAGCTTTCACCTAAATCTGGACCATCCCAAAGCTAAATCTCTTAACTCTGATCTCTCTCTTGATGTTCAGATATCTAAGTTTCTTGAACTGTCCCCTAAAAGGTATCCACATATATTCAAAGTGTCAGTATTTCCTAAAGTGAACACATTATCTTCACTTCTGGGTCTACATCTGCTGTGCCCCCATGTCCAGCCATAACCAGCATCTTCATATTGGCATTACTATACACACAATCCCTCAAGAGATAAACTTGGTTTATAACTCTTATTTACCTCAAATCTCATCAGTTTTACCAAGTTCTATAGAATCACTTTTTTAGAGGAGATGGATCCTTAATTTAGATGTAACTCACATACAATTCACCCTTCTAGAGTGTACAGTTTAATATCCTTTAGTATATTCACAAAGTTCGTACCACCGCCTATTTTCATTACCCCAAATTAGTTGTCACTTGAATTCTCTCTTCCCCTCTAGCCTCTGGCAACTGTCAAAATGCTTTTTGTCTCTTTGGGCTTGCCTATTCTGCACATATAAAAATGGAATAGTAAGACATTTGGCCTTTTGTGTCTGGGTGTTTTCAAGTGGCATAGTTTTTAAGATATACATTGTAGCATCTATCAGTACTTCACTCCTTTTTATGGATGAATAATACATCTTATGTGGATATAACATATTTTGTTGCTGCATTTATCAGTTGACTGGTTTTGGGCTATTAAAGATAATGCTACTTTCACACCCATACAAATGTGTGCATGGCCAGAGGTTTTCATTCCTACTTGTATATACCTACTTGATTATATACCTACTTGTCAAATTGCCAGGTCAAATGGTAACTCCATGTCTAACTTTTTGAGAAACCATCAAACTGTTTCCCAAGAAGCTGTATCATTTTATTTTTCCCACCTGCATTGATGACTGTTCCAATGCATGGCTTTTTATCTGTCTTTTTTATTCTAGTCATCCTAATGGGGATGAAGCAGTTCTGATTTACAGTTCCATCATGAATAGTGATGCTCATGATAGCATCTTTCATGGACTTATTGGTTAGCTGAGTGTCTTTTGGAGAAATGTCTATTCAAAATCTTTGTCAATTTTTCGTCTTATTACTGAGAATAAGTATTCTTTGTATAGACTGGATACTAGATCACTGTCAGATATATGACTTGTAAATATTTCTCCCATTTTTTACTTTCTTTGTTCTTTGAATAGAGGAAATCAAATTCATCTATTTTCCCTTTGGTGGTTATCCCTTTGGTATCATATCCAAGATATAGGCTCACTGCTTAAAAAAGAAAATCTGGGGCCTGCACCTGGTGGGTGCAGGGATTAAAGACACAGCGCTATCAAGCTATTGTCAGCCACTGCAACATGAATTCAATCCCCAACTCAGCAGACCTCTCATGTTTCTCCCACTGCTCTCCTCAACAGTGTGTTTCAGTAGATCCACCTGTTCTGCTCCCCACTCTGTATCTGGTGAATCCTCTCACTCTCCATACCACTGGCCTCCACCCTGCATAAATAAATAAATCTTTGTACCACTAGGGAGGGCCTAGTGGTACAACCAGTTAAAGTGCAGCATTGCCAAGCTAGCTGCAGCCGCTTTAGTGCTAGTTGGATCCTCTGCCTAGGAGCTGACACACTTGGCACACACCTCTCATGACCCACCCGCTGTTTCCCTTAGCAGTATATTTCAGTCAGTCTGCCTGTTCTGCTCCCCACACTGACTCTAGTGAATCCTCTCACCACCCTTGTACCCCATTTCTGTATGCATAATTAAATAAATATTTAAAAAAAAGAACAACTGATATTTGGTTCTGCTGCCATTATGACTAAACATATTTTACAGTCAGGAAATATCAGCAATTTGCATTCTGAGAAAGAATTTTTCTTTCTTATACCTCAAACATAAATTAGACCCAATAAACTATGACACTGCTGTTTAGTTCTGGGTTTTACACCTATATAACCAATGTGATAGGACAATTTAATGTCTCCTTACCACTGAAAATTGTTTGATATTTGAAATGACAGATTTGAAGTGGCCTTATAATGCTGATGCAGAAGCAAAAAACTTGTAATTGGCTACTTCAATTACTAGTAAACATAACTGGATGAGGTCTTGTTTCACATATCTAGTCAAAAACCTTGTAATCCACTTAGGCTTGAATCAGAGTTGCACTGCCAGACCCCTTTCAAGGAAGGATTTGTCACTGGGCTTTGGGAAGGCACTCGCCCCCCGCCACACACCCCCCAGTTTTTAGCTGTTTTACTCTTCATAGTCTACCACAGCTATAGAGAATTATGTCCTGATGCCATGCCCTTTCAGCAACAGTGCACAATTAGTACCTGGGGAAGGCCAGGCATTTTAGCCTAGGATGGATGAGCCAGGCAATCCTCATTCTCAAGCTCTCCCTCTGCTCAACCCTCCTGCCTGCCTGCCCCGCCCCTTATACCTGAGATTCCATTGAGATAATTTTTAAGAGTAGAAATAACTATTTAGCACTACTCTCCAAAATATGAAGCATTGCCTTTAATTACTAACCCCCAGTGAAATAACTTAATCCCTGAGTTTTGAAATATTAATATGTGACAGTCTGTGCAGATAGGACAATCATGAAAGAAAATCGGTAGGGTTTCCCCCATCAAGAAGGGGCTGTCTATAACCTTAGTAATTTTGTATTTTCCTCCTTAAATATCTGATGTCTTTTATTCAGAAATTTAACTCTTCTGAAATTTGTATCCCTAGCAAAACACTGCAATAAGACACTAAATATGTTATCTCTAAGTATTCTTCTCATACTCTCAAGAATTCAGCTGTACTTCTTCACTTGCACTCACACTGCTACTGTCGCTCTACTTGAAGACAGGTTTTCATAATTTCCCACTTGGAAAGTAATTTTTGCAAGTATCTTATAATTTAGATCTAACTAAATCTAGTTTAAACCTTTTAGTTTAAACTCTTTCTAAATCACACATTCAATCACACTTCCCATCAAAAACATCTTTGTTACCCATTTTCAAAAGAATAAATAAAAATGATTAGTAAACAGCCTCTTTGCAACTTGTCTTTAATTACCATAGCTCTATAGCCATAAATTAAATCAATTTCCTAATCTGTTACATCTATATTTGCTGTTTCTATTCTCTATACATCAAATTCCTTACTTCAACTATGCCCACGAAATTCTATTTGAATGCCCAGCTTAAATGTCTCCTTCATGGAATCTTTTCCCAGATCCCTGGTCTTAGCCTCTCCGCCATAGTTCTGCCACAGTGGAACTTTCCTCTTAACCCGGCCTGTGACCTAATTAGCTGTGACAAATCTCTCTGAGTTAGGAGTATCTGAAAATTTGACACCATTGTATAATCTCCTTGTATGTCTAGCTTCCTTGTATGCCTAACACAGGGTCTATCCAGTGGATTTATCTATGTTTGCTGAATTGTTCTCATTTTCCTGAGGTAGAGACAACTAGTTGCCCCCACCCCCAACTTCCCTAACAACAGCCGTAGACTGCCCACTTAGATTTCTTATGAGAGAATTTAATTTCTATTTTGTTTAAGTAACTATTCTGGGAGGTC